CAATTACCATGATCGGTAACGAAGGATACTTACCAATCGATAGAACAAAATTGTCTAAAGCTCTCATTGATGATGCATCAAAAATTGCTTTGAGGGATGAAGCTTGGTTCAAAGATGGATCGATCACAACTGTCAATGATACTGTGACTAGTGTTGACTTCTCGGGAAAGAAGGTGGCAACGAAGAATGGTAGCTCGTAAGTATACCTATTCTCATGATTTTTAAGACCCAGCATCTGGAGTCGTAAATCTTACAACTCTCATCCGAGATAATGGAACGAGATCTACACGCACTCAATTGTTCACGATACTAACATGCCCAATTTCTAGTTTCCCTTATACGAAGTTGGTTTTGGCTTCTGGTGGATCTCCAAAGAGTTTACCTTTGCCTGGTTTCAAAGAGTTAGGCAACATCTTTCTCCTCCGTGATATTCACCATGTGAAGGGTATCGTGGCGGCTATCGGGGAGAAGAATAAAAAGATTGTCATCATTGGAAGCTCATTTATCGGAATGGAGGTTGCGAATGCTACAGCTAAGGACAATAATGTTACAGTTGTTGGCATGGAATCTGCACCACTTGAGAGGGTCATGGGTGCTGAAGTCGGCAGAATTTTCCAAAAGGCTTTGGAAGGAAATGGAGTTAAGTTCCATATGGAAGCTGGTGTTGAAAAGGCTGTACCGTCGAAGTCAGATTCATCTAAAGTTGGAGGTGTACAATTGAAGGACGGTACGACCCTTGAAGCAGATTTGGTGATTCTTGGAACAGGTATCAGTCCTGCAACGGAATACCTGAAAGACAACAAATCAGTTGAACTCCGTGAAGATGGCTCATTGGCAGTTGATGAAAATTTCGTCGTTTCGGGTCTAAAAGACGTTTACGCTATTGGTGATATCGCAGCTTATCCATATAATGGTCCTGGTGGCGAAGGAAGTTTGGCCCGAATTGAGCACTGGAATGTGGCACAAAACTCAGGAAGAAGTGTTGCCACACATATCAACAACCCCTCCGCAAAGCCTAAAGCGTTCGTTCCAATTTTCTGGTCAGCACTCGGCTCACAACTCAGATATTGTGGTAACACTATCAATGGTTGGGATGATCTAGTATTGCAGGGTGAGCCAGAGAAAGCAAAGTTTGTGGCTTATTATTGTAAAGGGGAGACTGTCGTTGCTGTTGGTACCATGCAATATGATCCAATCATGACACAGGCGTCAGAGTTGATGAGAAGAGGAAAGATGCCAAGCAAGAGTGAATTAAAAAAGGGACTTAAGCTTGAGAGCGTTAACATTCCTGCTGAGGTTAAGATATAAACCTCAGGGCATACGGTATGGGCGAATAACGGCAGAATGGACCGGGGGAGGGATCGGGAAACCTTGGGACATGAATAATTAGTAACATGCTTAATGATTATGACGCAGAATACAATAATTGAGAAATCAAAGCAACTATCTTCAGAAACTCAATTTTGTGAACTCTTCATATGCAGTTTATCCTCTTCAGTTCCGTACAGTGTAGTCCATCATAAGAAGTAGCGCCCTCACTGCAGGTCACTCATTTTTCCACATTCGTTTACTGTACAAGAGACAAATTCAGGCGATTCGATGAAGAATTGACATTTCTTATACAGCCAGGTCCACCTTCTACAGCTCTGCTGCCGCGGACTTTTGTACCTGACGGAGTCTACCTTATCGATTTACGACTTTACTTCGCAGAAATTTGATAAAGAAGTAATATCATATTAAGAAACAGCAAAGCATTGCTTTCATATTGATGCTATAAGCTCACATGAACACCAATTACACCATGATACTACATACATTCTCTTCAATCCCAATACATACCAACCCAGCACACGGATCAGACCATCCATATCAGCCAAAATAAGGAACATTCTCCATCACCGTCGCAATAAACGCATCCGGGGGTAAAAAACACAAACTCCTAAAAATTTCCACCATCAAGAAACATCTCGCCAGTGCATATAAAAAGAACAAGGGAGCAGCACCCCAGGCCAATTTTCTAGGCGTCGCAATTCTTCGAAAATCGCCACAGCATATCATGCCGCAGTAGGGAATCAGGGTGTAGATGAGCACGAACACCGTACACCAGATACTGGTGGACCACCAGAGAATCTGTTCGAGATGGGTTGGGAATGTGAAGTTCCATGCTGCGACGTGGATGCATCCGAAAACTATACTGCCGAATTCGAAACCAATGAGCCAGGCATCTTCTTCGTCTGAGGAGGGATAGATGGTATCGTTTGGAATTGGGGCGCCGGATGTGAGGGATGCAGGGGGGTTGTTGAGGATTATGTTAAGCATGGATGAACGATCAAGATCTTTGTTCATGAATTCGAGAAGGGGAGTGGGGATGGGGCCTTCGTAGGACAGAATTGTGAAGGGAATTGAAACACCTTTGGGTTTGCTCCAGTTGAGGATGTAGATCAGGAGTGCGCAGGTGGAGAAGGCGATGACAGCGAGCTCGAGTTGTGCGATTACCAGACCTTTGGTTGCGCGAATGATGATCTGGGCGACGATCCAGAAGAATTGGGTGGTTGCGATGATGCGTACAAAAGTGTCGTTTTTGCTTTTGTCATTGATTTCGTCGAGTGTGATGTTGGGAAGTCGGATATGCTCGCATCGTCGAAGTGAGAGGATTTGCTGAGCGGTAAGATGGTACGGATTGGGATAATCGATAGGGGCATCAGTTCTAACACCCGGATCCGAAACGTTAACTCGGATTGAGGTGTCATTTGCATCTAAAGACATGCATCCTATAGATGATTCCATTAATGGAGTAGAAACTTCGGTTGAAGGTGGGTGTGGTGTCTGACCGGCGAGGATGTCAAGGGCAACGCTGGGCTTGGCTTCGATATCGTTATTTTCCCTTGATAGTGGATAGCTTCGAATTACAAAACCACCCATGTTTGCGAACAAAGTATGAGTTAAAGTCCATTCGACATCATCATCAGCAGCCCAAGCTTTAAACTTTTCAAGCTGTTTCCGTGCGACATCGAGATCGCTCCAAGCTTTGGCAAGTAGGATCTCTGGAGCAAGGATCGTTGCTACCATCCATTTAAGACTAGTCAAGAAACGTCCGATTCTCCATTTTGTACCATCTTTTAGACCATAATCTCGATTGGCTCGTTGTTGGGGTACATTGAGATGTTGGATTGCCCATGTACAGATGATGATCGTGAACAGACATGTCCAGAGAATATTGAGAGTTCCTCGGCTGTTGGGTGGTGAAATATAATTAGTTGATTTTGCTGGAATTGCACAAGTTGTATCAAATTTTGTGTAGGCATTTGTAACTACTGCGTAGCTGAAGAGACTATAGGCTACCATAAGGGAGAACATGGCGTCGCTTTCGAATTTCCGTAAACATGGAGTGAAAAGAAATCAAGTGAGAGTAGGAAAATAAATAACAGAATGCAGCTGGAGAGGAGGTGTGCTTAATGTCTCTATGGGAAAGAACCACCAGGCACAACAAAGACTTTGGATTCATAGTTTATGTATCGTCACTCAATCAATACTTGACATGATTGTAAAATCGATAGCTCGATGGCGACTTCCCATCATGAACATACAAAAATACAAAAGCGTACAGGAGCACTATCTTCATTTATTTATTATTCCGAATAGGGATATCAAACTTCAAGGCTTCCACACATATTCAACAGCAAATAATGGCAAGCGCAAGGAGCACTAGCAACTCGAATTGATAGCTTTTCACGAATAACATTTTTGTCTTCATAACTTTCAACAGGAAGGCACTCTGTTTGAACTCGAGACGATAATTAGGGGGAAACAGTTAGCATATTTTCGGATGGCATAAGCGGTGCGGAACTATGATTCATGAGCACTTGGCTTCGTAAATGCCAAGGATTTCCTTCATATTTTGTTGCAGAATTGTTCGAGGAAAATACCCAATAGTCACGGGAAATGCCCATCGAAATAGGTATTTCTCGCCGATAGTAGCCGATTTGCAACAACCACACGTCGTCGTCAGTGCAGCATGACTTCGAAGAAAACCCTTTTTTGAATGTGATTTGTGAAATTCTCCACGAAGCCATCTACTTTGTGTTTATTTGCTCTATTTGTTCTTGCCTCAAAGCTTTCAACACTCACATACTGATAGACTTAAGCCTCCAGATTAAAGAGACTTCAATTGGAAAACGATAACCAAACTCCAAATCACCCCACTAATGATTGCATGTGATAATCACATGACCATTCTTGCTATCAAGTTCCGGCTTAATTTCGTGAGACGTCTAGCTTTATCAAGAGAATATTTGACCAATCATTTAGTTAATGTTATCTCATAAAATCTTCGTTAGCTGACTCTCCACCGCGGTCGATTTTCCGGCCAATTCACCAATCATAATAAAGGGGTTATCATCGAAGATATTTGGTGGTGGTACAAAGAAATGAATGGACCATCACCAATGTTAACACTTCTTGATGTCAGAACAAGCTATTATGATCAAAGCATGGATTTGGATGAAAGTTCATATGGGAGTTCATACTGAACATATTAATGCTTTTATGGACAGTTCCATGAAAGAATAAATCAAACAATTTTGGGGGTGAATCTAAAGGTGCACAAACACGTGTCGGGTATATCCTCATTTCCCCCTTTGATTTTTGGTCAATGATTCAAAATCTATATATAACTCTTTAATGTCTTTTTGGAAATGGAGATATTCAAGTGAATACTTTCTTTCTACTCATCAGTGATCTCTTATCTATGAATCCACTGCGAATACCCATTTAGCAGATCGAGATGGTCATGTCCTTGCTGTGGCCGGAAGGCATTCCGGCCACGAAGAACAAGATAAAAAGGACAAAAATTTCGCACTTTTGTTGAACTTTTCTTTGTCTTTTAACAACAACAACTTCTACAAAATTTCAAGAACTTCCAAAACCACCTTTTCTACTAATTTATACCCATTTCTACATCATCACAAGCCTCTTATTCATCTTTTAATCTCATTTTCATCATGGGTTCCATTACTCCCACCCCTCTCCCACACTTCGAGGTCCTTAGGGATAACAAGCCAGAAGACAACTCATTGCCAGCCTTCATGGTATCAACAAACCAGAGGTTCCTTCCACGTACCGAACCTATCATCGCTCTTCCCTCCGAATTCGATGCTCTAGAATCTATCCTTCAACGCATGCCTATCAAGACTCTTGATGGCAAGCCAGGTCTCCTAGCCACTTTCACCCTTGGAGAGACAGTTCTCAACGAGCTTCCAGATCTTACTGAGGCTATCAATAAGTATCAAGATAATTTACCTCTTATGAATGCTCTCTATCGTGACTATAGCTTCTTAGCTAGTGCGTACCTTTTGGAACCTTGTCATGAGAGATTCCTTAAAGGTGAAGAGTATGGATTGGGAAGACAAACTTTGCCTAGGGTTATTAGTTTGCCTATCAGTAGGTGTGCTGAGCTGTAGGTATATTCTCACTTTTGTTTTCACTCTTCATGATCACCCATCACCATTGCCTTGACTTCACTTACAACTATCTATCTTTCAACCTCATCTTATCAAGCACTAATCTGATTCTTCTATAGTGCTGGTTTCAAACCATTTATGGAGTATGCTGGCTCTTATGCTCTTTACAACTATCGCCTTGAGGATCCAGCTAAAGGCTACACATACGATAACTTCCGCCTCATCCGTGCCTTTGAACATGGTCTTGATCACACTTCCAGTGAAGCTGGCTTTGTTCTCGTCCATGTAGATATGGTGTCTAACTCTGGACCATTGGTTGATGGTGTTGTCAGTTCTTTGGAAGCTGTTGAGAAACATGATCGAGATTCATTCGAGGGAAGTATGAGAAAGGTTTTGGGCGCTATGACTAAAGTCAACGCTGTCATGGATGGTATGTTTCCTACTTATTTTTTTCCCCATTTTGCATTCATGACTCTTAGACGACTGAAATTGACACGTCATGAGGCATGTGGCAGAAATCGAAACCTGGTGATTACACCTCTTTCAGAACATTCATTTTCGGTATAACCAGCCAATCTATGTTTCCACATGGTGTCATTTACGAAGGTGTCTCTGAGGAACCTTTGAGCTTCCGTGGTGAATCTGGTGCTAATGATTCTATGGTTATATTCTCCCTTCTTTCCTTTCTATGCTGAAATCTGCGACATAAAGTCATCAGTCTAACTAAATCCAGATTCCACTCATGGATAACCTCCTAAACATTCCTATGCCAACCACTCCTTTGACCTCAATCCTCAAGGACTTCCGTTCCTACCGTCCAGGAAACCACCGTCAATTCCTCGAACACATTCAGAACGCCTCCTTGGCTGTTGATCTCAAATCCTTCGCTCTGTCTTCCCCTACCTCCACTGCTCTCTATCTCCTCTGCATGGACCAAGTCCGTGATTTCAGATGGCGTCATTGGTGTTTCACTCGTGAATACATTCTCAAGAAAACCGCACATCCAGTTGCCACAGGTGGTTCTCCAATTGTTACTTGGTTGCCAAATCAACTCGGTGCAGTGTTGAGTGAAATGACCAGAATCTGGAAGGAAATTGGTAATGAGGGTGAGGGAATGGGTGAGGAGAAAGAACGTGTGAAGGATGTTATGGAGGCAGTCATCAGACAGAAGGAGCAGTTGGAGAAGGAAGTCGAGAAGTATTGTAAGGAGAGGGGAGTTAACACTGCTGCATCTTCTGCTTAGATTGGTTCATTCTTCGGGGAACGATGGTTTAGATGGTTGGCTTTGTGGCTAGGATAGATTCGATTCGAGATGCATTGCATATTAGATTGCATATGCGAGCCTGGACGTTGAGCTTTGAATTTCTATTCACTAGCGGACGAGATTGCACAGAGGTATGAGGAAGTTGCAAATCTTATGGCCACGCTTAGGGTTTAAGGAAAATTATTGGGAGGATCTTTATTTTGCTTTTCCCTAGTAGGGAATTGTATGGACTCCATAGCTTGAATCCAAATACAACGATGAATTTAATAACTCGAATGACTGAAACATAAGAAGCCCTTTTCATTTACTGTATGCTATTTTTCATTGGCGATTCTTGATTGGAAATACTTGGCATCTATACTTCTTACTCGGCGGCTTTGCACGGATTCCGATAGATCTCCAAGTCTGGCTAGTTACTTGTATAAAGCATGAAATCATGTATAAGTCGATTAACAATACAATTGATTACGGCATCCAGACTGCCCAGATCCACAACGCCTTCCGGAAAAACAAAAAAGTATTCCTCTTAAACATCCTTCCTAGGCCCATGCTCTCTAAAAACTACTTCATCAAGGACTCTCACACTTCTTCTTCAGATCCGTATTAAGTTCCTCAAATTGGCCCTTGATAGATTTTCCCAGAAGCCAAGGCTGCATCAAGAACGAAATACCTCCAGAGTATTCTTCCATCTGTGTGAATATCGTGCCTCCAGGACTACTCTTACTCGGTTCAACAAGGAAAGAATGGAGACCGGAGACCGTCATAACAGGTGGACCTTGCCATGCAAATTTGTTTGGGGAGTTTTCCTATTCTGGGACGAGATATCAATACAGTTTTTTTTATTTTGGCTAGGTTCTTGTTCTGATTGGTCTATTGAAGAGAAAATATGGATATTTGGATATTTGGATGTACTTGCAGTAATAATAGAATCAAACTCGAAATCTTTCATAACGCAATGAAGTTTTTTGCCGACGGCAAGGGGATCTTCGGTGTCTAAAGGTGTGATACTCTTCACAAATCCAGTATGCCATTTACTGATATTAGGAAAATCGAGGAGCTGGATTTCTGGGAATTAGAATCGATATTTGTCTGTAACAGAGGTAAATCCACCTACCACTCTTCGGACAGTCTCTGGTGAGGCATTGATTTCGATTTCTGTTGTGATCATCTTGATTGCTATTGATGGATAATCGTTTTTGGGATAAGCAGTAGACGCTTTTTATACTGAGAAAGGAGACTAAGAATTGACTCCAATATATAATTTTGACGTAAATTGATTACCTCGGCTTTTATATGATGCTGCTGCTAGCCTTACCTGTACATTTGAGGCGCAATTCAGTGAGCATTACAATCCCACTGTTGACAAACGCGGTCAGCATTTCATGTTGGCGAGAATGTCAGCATATCCACTTTGGCGCTAGGACGACTATTTCGGAATATTCGATAAGTCGGGTACCCCACTTTCAGGCCACCCCTCTTTGTGAGCCACCTTAAAATTCATATTATATAGTTTTAAAACATCATTTATTCAACAACTACTCGGCATCATAATAAATACTTGAGGCTACACTTTCATCATTATCATTAGCATTTCCTATATCAATTTTACAATCTCCCACCACAATTTACACCTCCCTAATCTCTTTAATCTTAGAAAACTTCGAATTTGAATTAGTTTTCACCTTGTACTTCTTTTTAAAAACGATTTGCTTCAATTGATATTCTAATTGCTTTATTTGATATTCAGACTACAGAATTTTATAATCCTTAATATCGAATCCCGTAGTAAATGTTTCTAAAAAACTAGCAACAAGTAGAAAATCAATCGCGTTAGTCCAAAAAAATATATACAAATAGTAATCTTAAATCACTAACTTTTCGAAAGATTTTAAAAATTGAAATTACAAAGTCTTTATTCTATTGATACATAGGATTATGTATCAGAATGTAAATTCTGATTTGTAATTTCCTTATTACGATTCTTAAACAACATCTAAACATAATAGACTTAGTGCGATTTAGAGATCATAAATCTGAAGCTTTCTATTCAGATAGTATATTATGCTCTATTAAACTATCCAGTTGTGCTTCTGATAGTATATGAGGAAATTAGTTTTCCAACTACTCCAGGAATCCGATAAAGAGATTAATTTATTGAGGTAATGTCTGTTATACTCTTTTGAGAGATAAGAATACAGATAAATCAAGAGGCTGTAGGATATATAATATATATAATGGAAGGAATCAGAGATGTATATTATGCTTAAAGCATTTATATATAAATTCAATAGTTTCATAGTTCCATATCCATTCAATATAAAGAGTCTTGGCTCATTCGGTGAGGGGGGGGCTTGTCTAAGGTATAACGACCCTTTTTAAGTCATTCTAGGGCAGTATCATTCGTAGTCCACCTATTATCGTAGCAGTGAAAAGCCACCCTTTATAAAAGCTTTAAATCAACCAGAAAACCATTATTATTTATACTGATTTTCCCTTCAATATAATGAGAGAATCAAAAGCTCTCCCCACAGTTGAGATTACATTTTATAAATGATATCCAAGCTCTAGAAACCAGGCTTCTTTTTCTAAATAAAAACAAACATTCTGAGCTTTCTAGAACTAGTCCATTTAGTTTCTAGCCTTTTTGGTATACCTGCTTCATTTATATTATACTAGTATTGAGGACTTAATATAATTAAAATTGAGAGCAAAAATCCAACTGTTGGGAAACCATTGACTAATAGTATTGATAGTTTAACACCTTTGATATATGCTGAATCGATTCTAACTTGTCTTTAATTCTAATCTCTAGATTCCTTTAAAGAAAGTTCGTAACCTAATCATTTCCCCAAGTGTAAAATCACCTCCTCTAATATCGAAAAAAACGCTCTCCAATTTTCTGAATTACCGATATGTTAGGACTAGTACCCAAGACTCTTGAACTAATATCCAATCTGCCAATCTTTTTCTTTCTTCTACATCAAGACTATCTTTTGCATATATTGCATACCTTTTTATAAGATAGGTAACCATTATACAGTTTTGAAAAATAACTCTTGGAATTCCATAATCCGAAGCGGCTTGTCAGATTGAATAACCTATTCACTATTGCACATAAAGCCGATTAATATCAACTTTGGTATATGTTTTTAGATATAATGTAAATAATAATATATCAAAATTTTAAATTAATTGATTCAAAGCGTTATGAAGTTATTAACGAATAATAAGAGAGGTCCCTTCTTGCAGTGAGCTTTTTTTCAAGGTGGCCCAAAAAGAGGGTGGCCCGAAGTGGGGTACCCGATTTACCCAGAATTGGTATATTCCTGTTGTGCTTTGCCAATTTCGAGATCGCAGCTGGGAAACGACTGTTTTGCAAAAGTTGAATAGTCCATGAACTGATTGAAAGTACATTGAACAGTGGCACGATGTTTTTGGTCACGAACATAACCATGGTCTGTTAGGTTTTTTTCTCTTGCTGATAATTGAGAGGAAGACGCAGTGACGACCAACGTAGTAGTGCGTTCTCCCAGAGCTAAAATCGAGGATAGAGTTTTATGGAGGCGCTTGCGAATACCAATATTTGTGTTATTGTTGGCAATAAACAAATCAAAAGTCAATCAAACACGGTTGCTTTGTTGGAATTGATAGCACTACTATGGCTGTTACACATGCCGACCAATTTCACTCATGACGAAGTCCACCAATACCGCAACCACTCGTTGGCGAAATTTTGTGGTTGGAACACTTCATGAATGGAGGACCGAAGTTATGGGAAGTCCGGTCGATCCAAAAAATTGCGAATTTTATTTGAGCCAATCTCGCAATATCTCAAGTACAACTGCCAACAAGAATCCAACAATACAAAACAAATTGTGACGGAGAACAGCGAATCCAAGATCATACCGAAAGTCCACAAAGTTGCGGCGTAACTGCAGGCTCGGAAGGCCGATTGCTTCCTTGATAACACCATTATCACTATTGTCTAACCAAAAGTTGTGGAAATATTGGGAGAAATTGAGAAGCTACTATGGATATTGGTAGCTTTTGCCTTGAGTGCTGTCAGTTATGGGCAAAATAAGGTCATCGGAATGATCTGAACTACCTTATATTGCTGTTCAAAGGCAATTATTTCTAAAACCATGCGATAGAGAGACAAAACTTTCGCCGAATAAGAAATATATAAATCGATGCATGAAGGAAGCTCCATAAGACAAAAGAGAACTAAACCACTGAATATTACCTCCCAAATCATGAAATGTGAAAGATCTTACAATATTCCAAAAAATCGCGACTTGGCCATGGCTGCAAAGGTCACGTTCGTAATTGATCGATGTCTCTTGTCATCAACTTGGAACCCCGCAATATCATAATGACGATATCAGGAGCAAACTTCCTGACAATAATTAAGGCACAGAATTTGCGCAAGATTGACGAAGATGACTTTGGAAGGTACAATTGTAGAATCTGTGTCGATATCGAAGAAAGACGATGGGAAATTAAACGCACGTGCACACGTGATCCAAACCAAAAATATAGTTCGCGCGTTTGCCCATTCTCGGCCGTTATATCGCGTTTTGCGTCTTTTTTGTCTTTCAACGATATTCAGGTTTCTAATGGTAAGGCACTAGTGCTATATACAAGATACTTGAAGCGGTGGCATGTCTTTTTGAGAGATGCTCGAGTGGCTCACATGAGTTCTTTCACCCCGCTCGCACGCAACAGTCTAGGATATTGTCATCATTTCCCATGCATCGGGAAATCATTGTATGATTTGCTAGATAGGTGCCGTTTCTTTTTGGTCATTTTCTTGCCATCATCTTATCTTCCAATCAAGTGACCAGTATATGATGAAACATTGTTCCAATATTCATATCTTCGTTCTCGATAGGCTTTCCGTCCTGATTAGTGTCACGGGCATATCGGGTTCTGTGTTGAGTCTATACCAGGAAGTCGGGACCATGGTAATCTCAAGAATGCTCTGGTATAATGTTCAACCTATAGTCTCAGGATATGATGTCAATATCCAAAGCTTTGTCGCCATCGCATATGTAGCCCAGGAATCAGATTGGCAGTCAAGAAATTCGCATATATCAATAGGAGTTTGCTCTCATAAAATCCATTAATTTTGCACCATTTACCAATTCTTCGATTCATTCAAGCTAGTGCACCTGTCACGTCTCCATATTCTCAAACTAAAATGTCCCCTTCAGTGATCGAAGCTATCTCTGAAACCACTCAGAACATTCGCGAAAAGATCGCACCTCAATCATCAGATAAAACTAATAATGATGGCACGAAATCTCAGGAAGCACCAAATAGTGAGAAGCTTTCACCTTCTGCAGTAGCTCCCAGTGGCACACCTCAAGAACAACACCGAGAGCCATTGAAACTCAGTGGCACTCTAGATAAATTCGAAAGTTTCGACGTCACTCCAATCATCGGCCGTGAATATGTTGGAGTAAATCTCGCAGAATGGATTCATGCCCCCAGCTCAGATGACTTGCTTCGAGATTTGGCTATTACAAGTAATTCAAAATCCCACACGTTGTGATTATCAATATCAACTGCTTACCTATCATTTAGTCTCTCAGCGGGGCGTTGTGTTCTTCCGTAAGCAAGACGATATAACGAATGACCTTCAAAAAGAACTTGTCCAACGTCTCGGTGAGCTTTCGGGCAAGCCTTCAACGTCTAAGTTAGTAAGTAAACCTCGTATCATTCGCTCGAGATATCTAAACATCTAACACTATCCTAGCACATTCATCCTGTGTCCAACTCCGGTCGTGAGCACGGCGGGAAAGATGATGAAATAAGTGTGATTTCATCTGCCAAGCCAAAAGATATACGACCGAAATTTTGAAGCCAAGCATCGTCAAAGTGCTAAAGAAGGCTGGCATTCCGACATCACATTCGAACCTATTCCATCAGATTATGCCTTACTTCGACTGACTGAACTTCCAAAAACTGGAGGTGATACACTTTGGGCTTCTGGATATGAGGTCTACGATCGAATCTCGAAACCTGTACAGAAGTTTCTTGAGACGTTAACAGCTACCTATGCGCAACCGGAATTTAACAAAGCGGCAGAGAAGAACGGATTTAAACTTTATTCAGCAGAAAGAGGTGCGCCAGAAAATGTGGGAGAAAAGCTGGAAGCTGTTCATCCGGTTGTTAGAACAAATCCTGTCACAGGTGTACGCATCCCATTTGTCTAACTTTGATCTGAAGGCTAACACAGGAAAATAAAGTGGAAATCGATCTTTGCACTTGGCCATCATGTCTCCCATATCAACGAACTCACAACTATCGAAAGCGATGCATTGCTAACGTGGTTTTTGAGACTTGTGGTTGATAACCACGATCTTCAAGTGAGACATCGTTGGGAGAATGTCAACGATTTGGCAATTTGGGATAAACAGGTCGAATGTACGATTCTTACTACCCCCCAAATTTATAGCAGCCGCAAGCTAACGAGTTTTTTGAAAAAAGTATCACGTCGCCACTTCTGATTACATAAATCTGGGACTGGGCGAGAGAGCTTGGCCAACGGGCTGTGAGTCTAGGTGAAAGACCATATCTTGATCCAGAAAGTACTGGAAGGAGAGAGGGGTTAGAGAAGCTTCAAAGCGCGGAATGATTGGAACAAGGATTGATTGTTGGCGAGGAAAGAAGAAAATGTTTACGTTCTCGGGGAATTTTTGTTGCTTTCCTCGATTTTTTGAGCCATCTTGCAGTTAGTGGAAGTCCCGATGAATTGTTGCTCTCATACACCAAACACATTTTATTCTCAAAACAAAGCAAAAAGCTATGTGCAGGTATCCTTAACTTGTACTGTTTACTTGAAAAGGTAAGGTCTATTTGTGTTCGTTCTACTTCTTCAGCTCAGCTTCCTCGGGGTATGAAGGTCGATTAAACTCCACCAATACAACATTTCGCCTTCTTTTACCCATCACCAAGGTCTTTCTTATCCTGGCCATCACTCACATCTTCCTCGTCTGTTTTCCTCCCTTCCCCAATCCTTTGTTTTTCCGTTCTCTCTCTCCTCCAGCCCGGCCCCCATTTCATAACCGCAAACAACATCGGACTCAAAACAACATACAACAACGCAATAAAAGTATATGTCCACCCCAACCCCATTTTATCCACCATCGGTACAATCAAAGCCGTGCTTCCTGCCCCCAACAAACACCTCACCAAATTAAACGCTGCCGTCGCCGTCCCCGCAGCCTCAGGATTAACATCCACAATCAGAATACTAACAGCCTGCGTACTAGCAATCAACGTATACCCTAGCACTACCAAAATCACACAAGGTCCTGCAATATTTACCCGCAAATGCAATATCCATCCATAGGTGATAGTACTTAAACTTGCAAGCAAAATCATGGGAAATCCTACTTGCAATCGTGCTTTTTCGATGGGAAAATGAGATAGATCCTGTTGTCTGGATTTCACAAATGTGATTCCTAAGCGACGAGCTTCCCGGAAATAAGACCAGTCGATGATTTTACCCTGTGTGAAAGCGGCGAGGAAACATCCGCCACTGATGGGAAGATACATAAGACCGACTTTTAAATCGTCATAGCCGTATATATCGTGGAATTGAGAAGGCATTCCTGAAATGACGGCATAGAAACCTGCATAGACGATTCCGGCATAAAATAATAAAAGCGCGGCTTCTTTTTCTGATACTATTCGTAAAGTCGCCAATGGATTTGGAAAGCGTAATTTCCGGGCTGCGGCCAATTGATCGCGTTTTGAGTAATCGGGAGTAATACCCTGCTTTAAGAGTTTATATTCTTTACGGATGTTGGTGAATGAACGACTCCATTTGGGTGGTGGTATTGATCCGTCGCCTACTATTTTCCCTGCAGGTCCTCAGGCATGAAAAGAAGAAGTGGAATGAAAAAGGCCATGGAGAAAATCGCTAGGAATCCGAAAATCCACTTCCAGCTGGTGTATTGGGCTATGATACCGCCAAGAATAGGACCAACTGCAGGTGCAAATCCAGCCATCATAGATGCATAACCAACGTAAAAATTCCTCTTTTCAGCGGAAGTGGCAATGTCGGCTACTACAGCATTTGCTAAAGCAACAGTGCCGGATCCACCGGCTGATTGCACCATACGGAGAATAAGGAGAGCGACATAGTTGTCTTGGAGAGCGAGAGCTATGTTGGATATGATGTAAACCGTGAAACAGATAATGTAAGCCGGGCGACGACACCGCTGATCCGAGAAACCACCAATGAAAGCAGGAGCTATAGCTTGGAGAATCTATGGCTTTGTGTGAGATGATGTAGCAAGGATAAGACGAGACTTACCATATTAAGTTGTGACTGTTCAAATTTACTTGACTACTGGTGACATGTAAGTCTTCAGCAATGGTATTGATAGCCGGGAAATAGATTTGAGTTGTAAAAGGGGAGAAAAAAGTGGCGAATGTAGCGATCAACATGAGATGTCTTTTCTCCCACTTGGAGAATGATGTATATGGAACTTCTTGCTGTTCGAGTACTGTTTTTTCGTCAGGAATATCGTTCTTCTGAACCGTATCGCTTTCCTCAGATTTCTCTGGTCGAGAATTGTTCTCAGCTGCAAGCCTAGTTGAAATATTCTTGAGTTCTTCTTTCGAACTCCTTTCTTCATTGATGATGTGCTCGGATAGGGATTCTTCCTCTTTTATCTCATTACCAGCCAATCGCTCGGGTTTTTACCTGCTTCATCGTGAAAGAAAAAACTCTTCCGAAGAGTAGAGATGCCACAAAACAGCATTGTGGAGTCAAAATGACATAGAGGAGTAAAAATACCGAATTCTCATGTTGTATGTACGTCGGCGCGACGGTGGTATGATATCGGTAATAAGAACTTACCTCCGTTGGTGAATCCATGTCGCCGACAATGGACTCCAATAACATTTTTCGAACTGCAATAGTGGTGAAATGTGCAAGCACCTTGCAAGACAATAGATAGTGGTGTGCTGGTGGTGCCTATCGATTGGCTGACATAATCACTGCTTGCGGTTGCAAAAACCACAATCGCCATATTCAATTCGAAACATACTATCGTCGTGCCACACTCCGCTCGAGATTGTGAACGTTGTCGTACTCACAGCATTAAGGAATAATGGTTTGTGGAATATCTTATATGCTTCGGTGGTTTTCGGAACATTGATCGAGATAACAGGGCGCATCGATGGATATACACGACATAGGGCTGTCTGTGCTTCACGAGCCTAGTGACTGTATCGCAGAGTAATAAGTCTCTCTCCAAAAGCCAGGCATAACACAACTAATATTAGCTAACCATAGTATTGTCTTTCAAAGGTTCATGGCTTACAAGGCCATCCTCGAAGAACTTGGACAACAAAAAGAAATACTGTGCGCAAAAAACCATCAGAGCAAAGACATACCGAATACTGACTTTTTCCTCACAAGCCACGACTAAATACGAATCTCGCCGAAGTCTCAAAAATATATTTTTCTAGAGGCAAACCCAAGCTAGAGTTTCTCAGACAAACCCAACTGAAAAAGAGGTATACTGGCCTTTGGATCTTTTGCCAAATAATTGCAATAACACGAGGATATTTACTTGGGGTTATGATTCTGTCGTTGCCAAGTTCTTTAGAGGTCCGACAAACAAGAACAACATGTTCGCATATGCAAAGGATCTTCTTTACTTACTAAGCAACAAGCGCCTGGATTGTGTACGTTTCTTATATCTCTATATCATCGTGTTACTAAACAAAACTGCTTTAGAAAGGAACGTCCCCTTGTCTTTATTGCACATTCTATGGGTGGTGAGTGGATTGTCCGATTGCATCACGATTACTCTGCTGACGATGACAAGGAATTATCGTGAAAGATGTAAGCAAATTCTTCTTACGCGTCACTCATACAAGCTATCATAATCGAGGCTATTGACCGTCCGTTTAGGTGATACGGCGCGCTGCGATTGAACCCTATGAGAATTTGAATGATATCTATCTTTCTACGATAGCAATTTCTTTTCTTGGTACCCCTCACCGCGGTAGTCAGATGGGTGAATTAGGCGAGGTTGTGCGCAGAATCGTGTCCGCTGTGGGCTTTAGTACGAACGATCAAAGCATCCGGAATCTTAAAATCAACAGTTCGGACCTCGAAATCATCCATGAAGGGTTCATTTCTTTATATGACCGGCCGAATCGACATTTTGAGGTTTGCACATTTCAAGGAGCACAGGGAATGACAGGAGTGAATTATGGGAAATTTGATCATAAAGTCAGCTCTAATCTGCCGTTCCTTGCATTTTTACTGATCATCTCCATTCCATAGGTTGTTGAAAATATCTCATCTATTCTTACGGGAAGTGAGCGAATTCAGACTATCAACGCGAATCATATGTCTATGTGCAGATTTGCTGACAGGACCGAGGATGGTTACCAGAAAGTGGTGGGTGAACTGCAACGATCCTTATCACTCATAAAGATAAAATCGCTCGTAAGGAGTACGGATAATGAGAACACTGGATTGCCGCCGAAAATTCACCAAGTCAAAAGACTTTTGCATCATTAGTCTATTGTACGTGCTGCCATTCTAGATCTACGGAGGAAAACTTGAGCTAACAGGAGCAAGCACTGAACGAGACAGAACGTCTTTGTATCTCTTTATTCAACAATCCAGACATGTTAGAGTATCAGTCTATCTTACCTAGCCGCGTCGAGGGCACTTGTGAATGGGTGCTCACTAATCCACAATATGTCCGTTGGCTATCAACAGAAAAAGAGGCATGTATTTTGTGGGTTAGTGGGCATTCGGGCAGTGGTAAGACTATCTTGTCAGCATTTTTACTCGAACATCTTGGATCCAGCATCTCTTCCACGGGTACCAAGTTGATTGTTTGCTGCTTTTTCTGTGATGAAAAAATTGAAGCGCAAAGAGATGCGAAAGCCATTATTCGTAGCCTCATATATCAAATTATTGTACGACGACGTGTCTTGATAAAACATGTGAAGGCGGCTTATGATATGCAAGGAGCTCATTTGACAGATAACTTCAACGAACTCTGGAGAATATTTACGGCTATAACAAATGATCGAAAAGTCGGCCATTTAAACGTCATTATTGATGCTATCGATGAATGCGAAGATAATACAAGAGATCGCTTGTTAAGAGCAATTGCATCACTTGTGGGCTAAAAAAACCTTTCTGGTACACATGGTATAAGATTTCTAATCACCAGCCGACCTCTGTTGTGGCGAAAATATACATTGGCGCGCGAAAGCACCGAGCACACTCTATCAATTGAGAACCTCAACTCGAACAACGAAAGCGATCTTCATTTAGTCATACGGACAAGACTTGATGCCATAGTAAGAAGGACGCAGTGCCGCCCTGAAACAAGGGAGTTTCTGGAACATGCTTTATATTCGCGAGCCGACCAAACATTCCTCTGGGTGACTGTAATTCTCCATATTCTAGAGAGAACATACCTTACCTCCCAAAATGACTTTCAGCGAATCATTAACAAACTCCCAAAGGGATTAACAGCTACTTACGAGCGCTTTCTACTGACTATTCACTCGGATTATCAGAACATAGCAAATAAGCTACTGCATTTTATTGTTGGTAGCATGCGCTCACTTTCGCTAGACGAACTTCGAATCTTACTGGCTATCCAGCCCCACCATAGAAATATGGAGCAAGTCGAGGAGGAGTGCCAGCAAAATATTAGCGAAACTATCCAGGGCATACTAGGTCCATTGGTACGAATATCTGATGATATAGTATCCCTCGTGCACCAATCTGCCAAGGAATTCTTGCAAAACCTTTGGACTTGGAAGAATAATCCTGTATCTCAAGTGTTCGGCGTTGAATTCGAGAAAGCCAACTTTTTATTGACTGAAGCAACGATGTCATATCTTCTATTGGAGGATTTTGCTGTCGATAAATTCGCGTATGCGACTGATAATCACTTGCCTGAGATTGTACAATCTGAGGACAAGGATGCTTTCTGGGACGCATTCGAACTCGAGGAAGATATCACTCTCCAAGAAATTGAACACACAAGCTATCACACATACCAAGATATCGCTGCTGCTCATACTCTTTTCGATTACTCTTCTCGATATTGGTCAGAACACTATTCGAGATCAGGATCAGCAAAGACAAGTGCTTCTAAGTCTGCCTTCAGTCTGCTGAACATGAGTCAGAATTTTCCTAAGAATTGGTTTCGTTACTTTTGGTTTTTCGCAGAACCAGGTTATTTGTACCCTTCCAACTTTGATACATTGATTGCCGCATGCTACTTTGGTCACGTCGAAATACTGGGTGCGTCATTAGCAAGAAATTATAAGCACGATCAGACTATCACAGAGACTGCTTTGTATTGAGCATCTAGAAAGTGAAACATCGAGATTATTGATTTTCTAAGAACTCGTATTTGGCAGGGCATGACTGTCTCAATAGCACTAAATCCTCTGATCATCGCAGCTCGATTTGGATGTCTGGAAGTTGTAAAACTACTTCTCAATCTTGATAAGATAGATACAAATGTACAAGGCATTGGGGGATGAGACTCATTGTCACTTGCGGCTAGTAATGGCCATGTTGATATCGTCAAAACATTGCTTAAAGATTCTCGCGTAAAATTAGACGTTCAGGATGTGAACAACTGGACACCATTCTTTTGGGCCGTTGGCGGAAAGCACTTGGATATCGTGGAGTTGTTCTCACAAAACCCAGGCACAAACATTAATCATGTTGACAAAAAAGGGCGGAACATACTCTCTTGGGCGGCCGAAAGTGGTGAAACCCAAATTGTTAGACATTTGTTGACGATAGATCAACTGTATTGTCAGAACCAAGATTTCTCTGGACGAGATGCCTTATCGTGGGCTGCTGCGGCTGGGCATCTAGAGGTAATTAAACTGTTACTCGAGAGTAGAAAACTAAAGATGTCTTGTAAGGATAAAGATCAGAGGAATGCGATATCATGGGCTGCAGGTGGCGGGCACTATGAGGTTGTCGATTACCTCATCAAATGTAACGGCATTGGAGCCGATGCAGAAGATGTTGACGGGCGGATACCACTAGCATGGGCGCTGGAAAAATCCGACCCAAGGACCGTTCAAGTGCTCTTGTCATCAGGGAAAGTAGATGCAAATCGAAGAGACAAAAATGGACGCACTCCACTCTCGTGGGCGGCAACATTAGGTCTCGAGGATATTGTACGCGTGATCGCTGCTGTTGAAGGAATTGATATACATGCGCGAGATATGGATAACCAAACACCAATATCAAGAGCAGAAGCATTTGGATACGTAAATATTGTAGATATTCTGAAGAATACGCGTAAAGACAGAACGTAGGCACAGTGTGTCCAATAGTCCGGACTGCAGGACGGATTAGATGATTTGAATCAAGCAGTCAAGCTTCAAACCAATTACATATCAAATATTTCATCTGTATTTTCAAATACTAAGCAAGCCAGACTGCTAGTACAGCTCGTCTGGATTTCTGGACTGGATACACATTCACGTGAGATTGTGTGATATCTTGTGATCTTATTTTGCTTCAATAATAATACAAATCTTCAACTTTCCAACTTGGCTATTAAAACTCCTAAACATCTTGAAGATTTGTGTATGATGTGATAAAGCTTATATAGTCCAAAAGTCCAGACTACAATCTGAACCTTTCAAAATTAGACTATCTAATCCGAAATGTTTATATTGAAATCTTTCCAACAATCTATATGATCCTATAGAATCTTATTCAATCCGTTTAGCTCGCCATCCAAACGGAGTACTGGCAGACTGTTGGACATACTGTATAGGCAAGATAATACATCCGAAGATAATGATATCATGTCCATGAAATTCCTGGTTACAAAGCTTAGACCAGAACAGGAGCCAGAGCATTCAAGATTGTAGCGCTTGGCATAGAGTACTCGACGTACCAAGAACTCGTCAATGGTGTCCCGATATAGTGGTCTCTGGCGGTATAAGAGACCGAAACAATTAAAACAACAGCAGCATATAAGAGATTGTTCGTTCTAGGGATGATGGTGAATTCCTTGCCGAGTAACTTCTTATCCCAGGGAAATGATATAGTCCAAGGTTTTCTTTTTACTCCTTCGAAACTGCGTTTCAGATCAATCATACATATCCCTGATTTCGCAAAGGCAAATAGACCGATAGAATAATTGATGGAGAAAACAATGGTTAGAGACCATAATTTTGTTCGGGAATATAAAGATCTTGTCACTTTCTTGGATTGTCACCATGAACTTCATATCACAGTTCACATTCTCCAATGACTTATCCGATAATAAAGCAAGAACAGTGCAATCCACTTCTTTGTCACTGTTTGAATATATTACTTGACAGTCACACAAGCTCCTTGGTAGATATTTGACTTTTATCAGCGAACAAGTATCGCCATATTTTGCGATCCCATCTTGCCGAAATACTTCCACGACGTCCACGGGCATGCCACTATAATTTATATTATAGTCAGCATGTGATAGTCTAGATGAGATACATCGATTCGAGGGGAGTATGAGAGTGTCGTTGCAAACCTTGAAGAACATGCCAGCCTATCGAAGTGGCTTTGCCAACTCAGCAGAACCAACGATTTGAATTGACTAGGTGAATGACCAGTAATCATATCAGTCACTGGCGGAACGCGATACGACCAGATGCTCCAGATTGATCTTACATCTTCTTTTTCTTTGAATATATACAGATTCAAAAGATGGTCTGCAAATATAATCTAATACAAAGTTTTCCAAGATTCTATATAACTTATAGCCGAGGTGCTTCAACTACTGCGCTAATAGTAGGAGCACGTGCAAATGCGCATCGTACAGGGATGAAGGCAAAATTTGTGGATATGGTTTAGCTGTCTGCGCGAGCTTCAATTCGACCTGGGAGCGAGTTCCAATGAAGAATATCATGGGGACAAATTTGGCAGTCTAGAGTTTCCGATCTGAGGATTGCAGTGAATTGAATTGTGAATTTCAAAAAGACAGACAAGGCTATTTGTTATTCTCTTCAAGTTGGAACTGAAGTTCCGAAGGATCGTTAATTGAAAGTATAGTGAACTACTAATACCAAACCCTCCTTTTGGGGTGACTGTGAAGTGGTCAATACAGAAGGGAATGACAACATTATAAAGGTGGTCTGATCATCCTGAATGAAACAGTTATTCGTGAATTGCAAGCCCATTCAGGGCTTTCGTCACTGGAACCTTTCCAATGGAAGTTCGCATTGGGTAGATGGGGGAATGGCAGTGGCCCTATTGAGCCTCAAGAAAAATAAACATGAAAGCTCTTGCCAAAGGAGTTTGTCAAGAGAGGAGAAATGCTGGAAGTAGGCAGTCCTTTTTGCATTAATGATGATAACTTTTCTTTTGTAAGTGCCTCCTCATCAGAAAGTGTCTAGTCGGACTGCCAGAAAGTACATTGAAGGGGGCCGAATAGTCTTATAGTATTTGATTGCAAGAAGCTCTTTGGATAAAGGATTCAAAGGCCTTGTGGAATAAAACTGGAATCAGGGGGCTATAAATAAGCTGCTCAATGTGGTGACTACTCGGTTGCGTCTTAGAATTGTAGTCGTTTTTCAAAGTTCATTTGTTTGAATATAAAATCCGAACGAATTTCAATACACAAGAATCAAGCGTACATTCAGAGAGGGAAAGAGACAAATTATTATAGCTTATTTTTCGTTTCTAGATATTTTCACGCGCAAGGCTATTGACCATCTCGTTCCTTCCACTTGTGACATATACGTATAACCATGAAGAAAATAAACTCGAAGCCGAAGTAACGACACACAATTCCTCTTCCTTGATACTAAATAAGCACCTGGAAAGTACGAAGATGGGTTTAAACAGGAGTAACAAATCGAATTTTGCTTTTCCAGGAACTCCCAGACCTGAACATAAACAATAACAAAAATTTTGCTCGACTTCAACTCATAGATCATCAACTTTTAGTTGGATCAAAATAACGATACGGCATAGATTTTGAAGAGAACTTTGTTCAAGTATGTATTTCTACCCAATTACTCCTGTTATCAAATTGAATTCTAGAATGCACAGATATCTCTTTCGTGTTTTAATGCTAACATTCTGGCGACCAAATGTTTGACGCACAAACAATGAATCAGCTTGTGGCTTTGATACATTCCGGTAACATACCTCGTGGTCTTTGGGAAGCAAATGAGAACAGTCTTCAAAACATCCACCCATTTATCTCTGCAGTCGACCTTACTATCCCAACCGGGCCGTCGAAAGACTTACAGATACATGAACATGGCGGAGCTGAACCATACGGACGAATTACCATTCCCATTCTCTCTCAGAATGCCACCTTTCGGAAAATAGCAAATATTGGACCGCATTCCAGGCTTTTGCGCCAACGCTCCAAGAGTTTATTTGCATGGCTTTTTATCTTCGAGGGAGCATCTGGAGACAAATCATCCAACACCTCAAGGAAGAGCCAAGAATGACTATGAAGCAACCCTTGAGATTTGTCAGCGTCCTTTGCCTGCTGGCCAAAAAGCGATGCCATTCAGTGACGAACTGCGTAGTGTCAATTGTTTCTCTCATGTTCGAATATCGGTAATATCTCATGGGAACCCTTGGAGAAAGCTCGCCACCAGATACAGGACACCAGAGCCTGTGGACCTTGGGTCGTTATAGTTCCATGAGAAAAATGGCACGTCTTTGGTGACTGGTTTTATGGGGGAAGGATGGTCACCCCCAACGGCAATCAACAGGGAGCTGATACCCAGCGATTATTAAGCTTGCGGAAGAAGATTATGTTCATAATACTCCTTTGCCCCGATTCCAGGTTATGAGAGGTATCAATTCGAGTACTTCATGCCGCATATTCCGGAGCATAATGGTGAGATGTTTAAAGAGATGGCTGAAATCGCCAAGGGGAAAGAAAGAGAATGTCCCGAGATGATGGAGCCTGAGTTTGCCAAACCATCCCACAACTGACAGCACCCGCGAGGGCGCGTCAATGGTGTACTTCTTTGTATCCAGTATAATTGATTATTGAATGGGGGCAGCTGGAATTACCTTTTGTTTCTACTATTGCCTCCTGAAGGCAGATGCGCGTCAGATTAAAACGATGTAAGAATAGGAGGTAGAAGTTAGATTGTGATCGAAACCAAAAAAGAATGAAATATTGTATCAGTATTCCTATCTTCTTCTTTTGCTGTGCTGCTGATTGTAATGACTTGATGGATTTTACTCAAAGTACTAGATGATGATTACTCCTCAAGAGCTGGTTTGCACAAACACGATAGTCGGCTTTGGTCGTGGGAAAACAAAGTTCGTCCAAATCTCACAAAGGTGTACTTTTATAGCTCTAATATCTAATTGATACCCAACAGACCTGGGTAGTTGGAGAACGCCCGAAATTTAGTCGTTCGTTATAATGGTTCTTAGAATTTGTGGAAGATTGCATGGTCAACGGATACTCTCAACACTTTTCGATCATATTGATAGAACACCGAAACCTCGATGTGCGATTAAGTTCGTAGCAAATAACTCTTTACTCTTGATAATCTTTAGTTCAAAACAATCAGAGATGAGGAATACGAAATCTGACATTTCGTGGCATTCAATGTTCTGGAAACCGGTGTGATCTGCCTTTCAAAACTTTGATCACGATCCTGTCCACTGTGTATTTAACTCGGGCAAATGAGAAATGAAATAAAATTGAGATGAACGTGGAGACATAGGTTTCTCATAAACCAACACGAAGATTTTACCGACCGGTGAGTATTTTTTCAAGCAACTCTATTCACCCCTTTATCCCGCATTGCTTAATGCGGTGTGCTGTCGACACATCAAATTCAGAAAGTATTCCACACGTGGAAGAATACAACTCAGCCGATGGATCAAACACTCGTATTGACCTGAGTAAAGCAGGTAACGATCAAAGCGTTAGGCCATCCATACCGTAGACAAAATCCAGTTACATAAACAGGTACGAACAAAGGTCAGCCGAGTGTCGAAAGATTGCAAGCGAAGCGATACAAAAATATGCCAACAATAGGTACATACATCATTATTGCAAGAATAACGGAGCAGCAGCACTTTTTGACCAGTTGACCCCTAATTGCCAAGCACGCACGTTGAATAACGCATCGTTCAATTAGACTTTCCACAAACTGGGTTTTACCCCACTCAAAAAACACGGGAGTGGAGTGAGTAAGGCAAAAAGGGGCTATGCGGTGCGGCTGGTGCGATTTGTTTAGGTAAATTGTGTCACTTATTCTCCTAACAACTCCGTAGTACATTTCCATCTTCTCGTAAAGTATGCATCGTTATTTGTGCGCATAGAATTTGTCATTCGATCGAGGCTACCGGGTACACACTCGGATACGTTGTTCCGTTGACCTGTCTACCTTGAGCTACCTACCTCATAGGGGTTCGTATTGAATACCTAGTGGGAGCAGATCTCGGGGGTTTCGCAACGGGTCGAGCGGGTATATGTCCGGTACTGACGGTACGTGAATGCTTGATACTATTTGCGGGGATAATTAAGCGTAAGAATAACCTTACGGCAGGATTTACTTTGGAATCTGTATAGAAGATTCTAGTGATTCTGTGGAAATTTTAGGGTGTTGTGATTTTTATTCTGGCATGCATCACTGATAAAATTAGACATTTGTGACCGGTGTAATAAATTAGAAAATTATTAACATCTAATTGTAAATTTGTGGTACCTAGGTACTTGTCATTAGGATACCTATGACTTGGCTCTATTAATTCTTCTCCCCAGCAATTTCAATTTTAATGCTAAATATGCTTAGAATTTTATCCAACGTACGATGTGATGTAGGGACACAATGTCATGCATACAAGCAAACAAAAGCAACCTAAATACAATGACGTTCGCCTCGTCCCACTTACAGCGAAGCCACAGCATCCACTGAATACGAGAGCGAGGATTGCCGGCTCCACAGATCGTCATTGTGTGTACTCTGTACATCGTGCATCTCGTATCTAATCATACACTCTGGAGACTCCATTAAAAAAGGAAATGTATAGCGATGGCAAGAATATATAAGAAAGAGGTATCCTGTTGTGTAAATCATCATTCAATCAAACAATCTCATCATCTTCACTCACAATAACCAACATCTAAACCAATTCACTCAATTTCTACCAAGAAATCAATCATCAAACCGCAAATATGCAATTCTCATCCGCTATCATTTCCGCCATCACCGTTGCTCTTGCATCGGCTGCTGCCGTCGAGAAGCGCAGCAACGTCTTCGATGTCTCCGACTTCAGCGCCAGCTGCATCCCACACGCCACCCATTGCCTGTAAGATTCCTCTTCTTCTCTTCTTCTCAAGCTTCAAACTAACCCCCCAACCAGCTACTCCTTCACCGTGATCCAAAGCGGCTCCATGGAGACCCCAGGCACCGGTGTCAAATGCACCGCTCTCGTCACCGAGAACACCGACGGAACTCTCCCCGACATCCCACAATGGGGCGGCTCCTGCATCAACTCCTCCCGCCGATTCTGGGTTACCCGCGAGGATGCCGGTCTCAACTTCTTCGTTTCCCAACCGGTTTCTCCTGCTAGCAACACAACTGCTTCCCACTTGCTCCCCAACAGCCAGTTGGTTATGGTTCCAAACTCCATTGGTAGCACCCAGAGCTACAACGGCCCTGCCTCCTTCGGTTTGGCCTAGAGGAATCGACCGAGAGGGAAAAGTGTCATGGCTTTCCCTACGGAAGTCTTTGTTTACCTACCTACCTAGTGATTATTGATGGATGTTAGCGAAGTTTTTGTTTCTGTTCTGGTGTGCGGTGTAAGTTTTTTGGTGTAGCAAATAGCATTGAGGAGGATAATCGGGATAGTAGTACCTTATAATATAATTACTTTCCCCCATTTATTGTTCTTTGCTTGCAACTTTTTGAAATCTCAAGTGCATTCCGCTTAATATTGCCTTCACAGCCACTATCGCCAAGCGGTACAGTTTCATGCCTCACCATATCATGTAATACAGTAATAGCGGCGAAACATCCAATGAGCGAGACCGTCGAATTGGGTTCTGAAGTTTGGTTTTTTGAGCGTCATTTGAAGTCATCTTATTAAGTTTTTGACTCCATCAGAATTTGAGTGTAGTATTATATTAGTATTGGTAAGAGTTTCAAACAGTGGTCAAATACTTGAACGGGATGAGATGTCAAGTGGCTGTGATAGGATCAGTAGGTATTTAAAGCGATACTCGTCATCATCGCATAAATTGTAAGTAGCAGAATGAGCAAAATCCTTGGTTTCGGCTTTGCATCTTCTCTGTCCTGTCGAGCCTGTTTGTAGGATTAGCATGAATAAAGTCAATTGAGATAATCAATACGTTATAACATCATCTCTACACACTCTAACAACATACCGTATTATAATTTCATCCCAACACCAATTCACTTCCCACATACTCATACCTACTCACAAAGCAAAGTAGTATTGAAATCGACCTGCATACTTACACAAATCAGGACCCATGACTTTCAGGAAATTCTTTCCAAGGGACTAGGAAGGGATGATGTATCGCTTATCCTACCGTCCCGCTAATATATATAACTAGACGGGTAAATTGATTGCTTGCCTTTCTCCATCTCCCATCTCCCACCTCCACACTTCAAACCTCACAAACTCTCTCCGAAACTTCAGAAAGTATGCATATACATATCCATCTCTTTCCCCAATCACAATCACAATCACAATCACAACCACAATCACAGAAAGTCCCCTTCCACAAAATCCCTTCAAAAACACTCCTAAATTCTTACAATTAACATTCCCCAAAAAATTTCGAATTCGTAACAATCCGACATCCTAAGATCTGAGATAGGAAATCTAAGATTGGGAGGAAGGGAGATATGAATCTCTGTTTGAGAAAATAATAATAATAATAATAATAATTACACATATTGAAGTACCTGAGTAGTCAGCAAACAGTATTCACGAAATGAGATGAAGGTGAGAAGCGAGTGAGTAGGATTAAATCTGGAATCAGATATATGACTGAAAATATCGAAAACCCAATCTTCCTAGCATTGTATTTTAATAAGAAACATCTTTAGTAACCGTATAATACTCATGATCCTTACATGTGCAATACCCAACATATCCTCGAAATCATTTTCCAAACACGAGGAAAGAAGTGATATCGAGATAGCATCTCGCACTTCGTCATCCGAACCCTCAACGAGGAAACTTTCCTCCTCTTTATTCCAACTCCGCAATTCCCTCCCGAAACCTCCCTCCCTTGACATACTCCCACCCCTCACCAGGCGTCGTCGCCACACTCGCATTCCCACTCCTCCCCCCATCCCCCTCTTTCTCCTCCCCCTTCTCCTTCTCCCCAATCTCCACCGGCGCCGCAATATCATTCGGACTCTGCGGAGTCGCCGGCACACCCCTCTGACTCCCAAACCCGGGACTTGTCCCCGCGCTCTCCGTAAACGGTCCACTGGGCGCCGTCGTCCCAAAATAATCCGATTCCTGTCTCCCATGCGGAGACGCACCTGGTCTTTTCGAAATTTTCGATCCCGCTTTCGATTCCGACTTACGCGAGAAGCGAGAGCCGGAAATCTGAGACATGGTAGCGGATGGAATATCCATATCCGGATGAGAGGAGGATTTGGATTGGAGAGCTCGGCGACGATGGATCGTGAAGAAATAGATACAAGCTCCTATGCATGCTAATACGAGAAGCGCAACTCCGACGCCGATGCCGGCTTTGGCGCCGGTGGAGAGACCGTGATTGTCAGATGTGGTATTGGAGTCTGAGACTCCGGTTGCCAGAATTCCATTGCTTCCTGTACGTATAGCGGTTCCGGTGCCGGTAGTAGCAGCGCAGTAATTTGTACCGCTGAGAACCGCACAGCCGAATCCATTATCGCAACATCCGCCACCCATGGAACTAGCGCAGGCGAATTGGTTGATTGTGCAGCCGGATGGGATCACGGAGACGAGAGCGGGGGCTGAGGAAGGAAATATAGTGACGGCGCATCCACTGGAGCCGTCTGAGGAAACGCATTGCGCGTTATAGCTGCAACAGCCTCCGCCGAGAGAACTAGCGCATTGGTAGTTAGAGATAGAGGGACAGGCGCGGGGAATACATGTTGTTGTTACAGTGGTGGTGGAGGAAACAGTGATGGTTTTGTTACTGAGAAAGGAAGCGGAGGAACACGGTGAATCGCAATTACTGCCTATGGCGCAGCAAGCAGGACCTTTGGAGGGGGATATGATGCAGTATTCGGTATTTAAACAACATTGTGCTACATCTATATCAAGACCTTTGAAAAAAACTTGTAATCAGTGGATGTTTTTCGCATGATATAATTGAAATCTGCGGCGCTATGAAAGATATAAAGGATGCAGGATGGGAAGATAAATCAAGAATTGGGAATAATTACAAGAATGAGATCCACTTGGACATTTACTATCTCTCTCAAACAACCTCCCCTCATTCAATCCCATATAATATCTCGGACTCAATACATTCCCCTCATTTTCCATTCTCACAGCTCCAAATTGTCCCCGCACTTGTACCACATTCGTGAAACCCAATCCGAGGAATACTAACAGCCATGGTGACCGCGAAAATATCGATATCGACAGCGGCATCTTGAAGAGTTCAAACTAGTTTATATCGCGAGATTTAAACAGAATGATCCATGCCGAGATATATGCATACAAGAAATATATAGGTATGTAACATGCCCTCAATCGATTGCGGGGAAAAGTAAAAAGTCTCCGTCCACTGGTGGCACACTGATGGCAATGGGTAATAATAACGAAATTTAACCCCTCGGGCAAGAACCGCCGATGAAAAAAAAAAAGAATATAGAAAAGCAAAGAGCGAAGAAAGAAAGTAGCAGGAAAAGAAATTCCACAGCCGCAAAAGAGCGATATCCCCCCCCCCCCCCCCCCATCAAAATCAAATCAACGAACCAACAAACGAATTCTCCGATTGAAAATTCAGTCTTATCGTATCTTACCTCGAGCTTACATCTCGATACATCCATTCTACCCGGTCCCGGTTCAATCATCTCCTAACATTTAGAAGGCAGAAGCTGAGGTCAGCCGTAAGCCATATGTAGATATCGCTTGATATTATTGGCGTTGATAATTTTGGGAACCGGGGATGTGCAGCTGGGGATATGTATGTACTTGCATACTGAGTGTAGCGAGAATCGTGATTGACGGATCGGAGCTGGGGTCTGGACATGGGATCACCAATATCTTCTGGGGTGAGTGGGCGAGTTTGCTTTGTGGAGAGTCAGATTTTTGGGTGTGGGTGTCTTGGTGTTTATTGGGATGGTGTGATGAGAGACATCCTTGAGGTTGTGGGAGAGATACGATACACTTTACACAGAGTAGAAGAATAGTAAGATACTGGATAATGTATGGATAAGTAAGTGAAAAAGAAATAAAGATTGGATAATCAAAATATTTAAATCCTAGTAGTATATCGTAGTAGACCGAGTAGTTTCGAAGAAGGAAACTACTAGTCAATATTTAACAGTATCTAGATATTCATTACTCCTATCCTCTCAAGCAAAACCACAAATTCAAACTTCGAACCCTCAATTACTATCTACCTAGATAGAATCTTAACTATCTTGACGAATCAACAATCAACAATCATTATAAATCCCCTATTCCACTACATCATCATTATATATTCCCTCCCTCCCTCCCTCATCTCTCTCTATCAACTCACCTCCCAAATCACTTTTATAAACCCAAAACCCAAGACTCAAACCCGAACTCAAAATGCAGTACACCACCAGACAGTGAATTTTCTCAATATCATTCCTCGATATACCACACCATAACATATTATACTACATCACACCTGCATATACACATATATATAAAAGTACCTACCTATTATCCATCTCCCATCCATCCATAAACCCACCTGCACCCACCCACAGCATCCCATCCTCGGCACCGAAACATGCAAGTAAGTATGTAAGTATGTAAGTAAATACCTATCAACCTACACTACACATCAACCAATCAACCAATCTACACATCTATCAACCTAGTATACCTACCTACCCAGTCCAATGCAGAGATATATATATATATATATACATATGTATGTCCCTACCTAGCATATCTAGTATGTACCTAGTATATACATCCACCAACCTACCAACTACCAACTAACCTCTCCAACCACGCCAACCTACACAGTCTCCTAGTCTAGTCTAGTCCACCATAAGCAATATGCACAACATCCATCCCATCCTCAGTCAATCAATCAGCGGCCAAGACACCACCACCAGCTTCGGAGAATCAAATTCCACTGTGCATACATAGGTACATTTCGGAATGAGAAATACCGTTTACATTTTACATTACTGTGAAAAGATTGACATGGCATGATGTGATGTGATATAGAACGGAGAATGATATGGTATTCGATAGAACTTGATACGATCAATGTAAACATGAAGATGCAAAGACGACGCACACATCTCCTTGCATGTCATCTATACTCTCTTCTTTGCACTAGACAACTGCTATGTAACTACTCTAGACTCGCCCGAATGGATTTCCTAAAAGAAACTCGGAATCCAAGATGAGATAAAATAAAATAGAATTCCTCCAACGCCCCAATCTCGATTAACCAAACAATAACTCCCATTAATGCGTGACATGCGTGTCCAAATGTACAAAAGAAATCTTCATGCGTGAGTATCTGTAACAATTCCCCTTCCCCTTCACAATATCTCGTTTAGAACTTCCATGCACCGCGTAAATTAACTCCCGATACTTCCTCCAAAAGGATGACTTTCTCGAAGATCGGCTACCAAATCATCGACATTATGGAGATATCTCCCGAGCAGTTCTTGTTTTTCCTCTAATGTTTTGGTATGTTCGCTTTCGCTCTGTGCTCTTCTTCTGCCCGACTCTTCTCGATTATTGATTGCAACGGGGAGTTTGCTGGGACTGCGTTGCATTAGTGCCATTGAGTTTGATGAGCCTGATGATTGTAGTGATGGGGTTTCGGGCATGAGGTAGAAGTACAAGAATTCGACGAGTTTGAGCTTGACATCGCGACTTGTTTCGCGGGATTTGAAAATGGAGGTTATGGTTAAGAGACCATCGAGAGTCTCGAATGTGCGAGTATTCTTGGGGGTGTCAATGAGTGAACAGACGAGGGTGAGAAGGGTTGCAGATTGGATTGCGGGACAATTGACTGGTTCGAGGAGATCGAGAAGATGCTGTGGAATGTTAGTATCATATCATGTATATCATTCCGGGAAGCGTGAGAATGGGATTGATAGAATGGATACATACATTCATGTATAGTTCTCTGGAGAATAAACTCCTGGAAGGAGGATGTAACAAGAGAACCCCCTGGATCAATTCCAATGTTTGAATTATTAACAAATCACTTTGGCCATCATTAGTCTTTCCCATCAATCTATCCAAGCAAGTAACCAATCGCATAGCAACATTCCATTCGAAACCCTCCTGTAATCGAAAGAACTCTCGAAATGCGGCATCATTAGGTAGTTCACTCAGAGCTTTTCGTGGAGGAGGTTCTTTTCCCGGGTCAATCACTGAACGGCGTTTATCGACATTGGATCTTGGAGAATTGGATAGACAAATTTGTGCTAATAATCCTTCGACCTGTCGGAGACCTTTGCGAATTTTGGAAGCATCATATGAAGAAATATTATCGAAAGAGAGAGAAAGTAATGCTTCCATTGTTTGAATTTTGGTGTTTGTGTTCGATGCGTGGATTGGTTGGCGTGTATGAATGAATGAATGAATGAGTGAATGAATTGAATTTTTTGTTATCTGATTCTTGAATGATTAATTGATTGCGCAAAATCGCAATGAATGATTTGAATTGTATAATTGGAAAGAAGGAATAAATATGGATTGATTTGAATATGTTAATACAGGAAAATGAAGAGAAGGTATGGGAAAGAAAGAAAGAAGGTAGTTATCTATCTATCTATCTTATTTTAGAAATTTTGCAAGAAGCAGCGTTGGGATAATGGTTTCGGGGTATAATCGTTCTCAGGGCAACGAATCCAAGCGACGGGAAGGCTTTCAGGGAAGATACTGGGGAGTAGGTAGCGAGATCGAGGATAGCTTGCGGTATTCGCTGCTTGATATGGAGTGAAGAGTGCATTGACAGACAGTGGTTCGAGTGAGTTTGTCTGTGGGTATTTCCCTTTCTTTTCTATTGAAGTTTGTTTATTTTTTTTATTTTGTTGTTATTGTTATTTTTATTATTATCATGATATTGAAATATACATGACGCAATAACAGTATATTTATATGAAACTATTTGATCTCTGGATATTCACATCTACCTAATACCCTACCTACTATGTAGCTACCCAGCATCTATTATCAAGATATATGTATATCTATATCTATATATACCCGATATTTACCTACCTAAGTATCAAGGTCCGTACAGCTTTTTCTTCTTATAAAGAGAGGAAGAAGAAAATAGCGACCTTCAGCCTCATGTCTTCCAATATGGCATGTTCATCAATATACTTGTACCTGGAACCGATGCATGGTATCTGTATTCTCACACGATCAGACGAACATATCACACAGCCACTACTACCATTACTACTACCACCACCACTGCAACCATCACCACCACACTCACTCTCACAGACATCTGCGGAAAGTCTATCATTCAACACGTGAAGAAATTCTCAAGCTCCCGGCCTTTTGCACGACCAAAACTAATCATGTTTAGCTGGAGTTGGGGTAAACGATAAACAAATAGTAAACTATAAAGTAACCGTAACCGTTACATTCTGCTGACTGCCAACATATATCTATCTTACTTGTACTTACGGCGCGCGCATGCTATCTATCCATCTATCTATCTACATTTCCATCGGTATTGGTAAATGGATCCAAATAATCAGAAATAGCAAGCTTCATTACAAATTCCCCTTCTTCATCGCCGGAAATCCATGCAAGGGTTACGCATCAATTTATCACATTCTTGTTCACCCCGCCTATCAACTAAAAGAGTGAAATAAAACAAGACCCAAAATGTTTCAGCGACTTCTTCCAACTAGAGGTCCTTCCATTATGGTTTCCGAAAACTTTCCTTCTCCAAACACGATCCCTCCACGAACTTCCTCCAACGGTCAAAATAATATCAATCATCCCGCTTCGAAATCGGTCCTGCGTCCAGTCCCTGAAGGCGATTGGATCAGTCAGAGAAATAGTATGCATACCGCACAATCTTCTCAATCCTCAGGAGTCATGAACCCTTCAATTCAGGGAGGTTCAGCTCCAGATCCAAATAAATATACAAAAAACGACATGGCATTTCATGGAAGGAGCTCTTGGGCTCCAGAGAAGGAAAAGATATTGTTCGGTCCATACGATTATTTGGAGGCGCATCCAGGAAAGGACATTAGGAAACAATTGATCGCCGCATTCAATGAATGGCTGGAGGTACCACCGGAGAGTTTGGAGGTCATTACCAAAGTCGTGGGAATGTTGCACACGGCATCCTTACTCGTCGACGATGTTGAAGATTCATCATTGCTGCGACGCGGATTACCTGTCGCACACAGTATTTTTGGCACGGCGCAAACGATCAATTCTGCAAATTATGTATACTTTTGCGCGTTGCAAGAACTCCAGAAACTCAACAATCCCCAAGCCATTACGATTTATACAGAAGAGTTATTGAATCTTCATCGGGGTCAGGGTATGGATTTATTCTGGAGAGATAGTCTAACTTGTCCCACCGAAGACGATTATTTGGAAATGGTTGGCAATAAAACCGGTGGGCTCTTCAGACTCGCTGTCAAGCTCATGCAAGCTGAGAGCAAAACCTCAAGGTAGATAGGGTACCCCGCCCCCACCGATCAACAGAAACATGCTGACCCCTGCCTAGGGATTGTGTTCCATTAGTCAACCTCATCGGCATCATTTTCCAAATTCGCGACGACTATCAAAATCTTTCGTCGCCCGAATACTCGCAAAATAAGGGGCTCTGCGAAGATTTAACAGAAGGCAAATTCTCATTCCCCATCATTCATTCCATTCGCGCCGCCCCCGATAATCTCGTGCTGCTCAATATCCTGAAACAGAAACCCGATGATGAACAGGTTAAGAAATATGCAGTGGCTTATATGGAACAAACGGGAAGTTTCGAATATTGTCGAAAGGTTCTGGTTACCTTGAGTGAGAGAGTTAAAAAGTTGATCGAGGAGCTGGATGATGGGGGGAATAAGGGCAAGGCAGTGATGAAAATCTTGGATAAAATGGCTATCTAATTTTTGGGACGTGGAAGGGAAAAGGGATGTCGGTGAATGAGGAGAACTAAATAAAAAATTCCGTGGAGGTATTTTGATATATGAACGCATTGGTAACATGCTGGCGTATTTGGGCATTGCAATATCATTTTGGGGTATGGTTTTCAGCTCAGCTTTTACTTATTTAGGTTGACTTGTGATATCAATCAGGTTTAGGTTTCGGATACCTTCTTCTTCATTACCATTTTTTTGTCGGTCTTTTTATATTTGTGTATGTGCAGAGTGTTGAGTGCAGATTGTTGATGTCGAAGTGATGCGGTATATAATTGCATCTAGATATCTGTGTGAATTTCTGGACCTCTGAGTGGATGGATACCCCTGTTTTACTTGTTGTTATTTCATTTATTGGGGAGTAATATATTGGGGGTTTCTTGGTAGTGGGTGTGGTGTGGTGATGAGTTGTGAGTTGTGAGTGTGAGTTGTGAGTGTGAGTGTGGATTTGAGTTTGGATTTGAATTGAAATTTGAGTTTGGATTTGGATTTGTAATCGATTGAAATCCATATATTGGATTGTGGATGGATGTTAGGTCAGGTCAGGTTAGGTAAATGGTAAATGGTAAATGGTAAATAGTAAATGGTATGGTATGGTATGGTATGGTATGGTATGGTATGGTATGGTATGGTATGGTATGGTATGGTATGGTATGGTATGGTATGGTATGGTATGGTATGGTATGAGATGATATGATATGATATGATATAATATGATATAATATGATATATTCTCAGTTCAAGCGGATTGAAATTTGAAATTTGAAATCATATTTATTATGTTTTTATAATTTCTTGCTATGTTTATGTTATGTTATGTTTATGTTATGTTGTATGTTATGTTATGTTATGTTATTTTTATGTTATGTTATGTTATATGTTATGTTATGTATGTTATGTTATGTTATGTATGTTATGTTATGTTATGTTATGTTATGTTATGTTATGTATGTTATATTGTATTTGGTAAGGTACCTTGAAGTAGTTTGAGAGTAGTTTGCCGTAATTTGAAATAGTTTTGACAGTAGTTCTTGACGTAGATGGAAGTTTGAAGTCGCTGAAGTTTTGGAGTAGCTGTAGCTGATCCGTTTGATGACGGGGGGTATGGGGGCTGGGGGTGAGTTTGCGGTCTGAGGTCCGCGGTCTGCGTCTGAGGTATGCAAAATGGGATCCTACCGGAGTTTCAAGTTCGCTGGGGGATTTTGGGGTTCTTGTGTGGGGCCTTTTTTTAGTGGCCTCTTTGGGTTGAGTAGGTACTTGTTTGAGGGCTGGTTTTTGTTCTTTTGTTTTGCTGAGATGTGGGGCAAGGGGAGAGGAGAGGGGGAAGAGAGGGGGATGGAGAGGGGATGGAGAGGGGAATGGAGAGGGGATGGAGAGGGGATGGAGAGGGGATGGAGAGGGGATGGTAGGGGATGGAGAGGGGGATGGAGAGGGGATAGGGTGGATGCAGTGGATGAGATGGAGTGGGATGAAGATTTGTGAGAATGTAGTGGTTGTGAGGGGTTTGGGAGATGGAGATGACGATGCTGTACTAGGTCAGGGGAAAGTGATAATTGCGGTAGCAATGGTAGTGGTTGTGGTGATAGATGGTGGTAGTCGTGCGCCGGGGAAGGAAGGAATGGGTAAAGGGGGTTGTAGTAGTGATGGTGATGAAGTTGAGCTTTTGTGCAGTCCTTTTGCAATAGACTGGTGGTGGTAGCAGTGGTAGTAGCAATAGTTCGCTAGGAGGGAATGGATGGGATAGAGAGGAGAGTAGTGGTATTAAGGATTCGTTAATGCGGAAGTCCGTGTATTGCTTTGTGTTGAATGGAATTCTGGGATTGGGGATGAATTGGTGGTGGCGCTTATGGGATTGATAGTGGTGGGGTGGATGGTGATGGTGATGTGTATGAGGGTAGAGGGGTGGTAAATGGGATAGAGGAGAGAGTGGAAAGCGAGCGTGATGAAGAGAGAGTAGCAGTGCTAGTGCTAGTAGGATGTGATAGAGGGATGAGGGTCTGGTGATAGTAAGAATCAGGAGATACGGGAAAATTGCTTTTTTCCAATATGATATTAAACAGATTCTATAATAATTATTAGTTTGGTAGTGGCTATAGATATTGTTTGTTATATACTAAAAATAAAAGAATGAATAATAAGTATAATAAAGAATTAGCTTTTTATCTATTTTTATTGATTTAGGAGTAAAGAAGATAAAATAGATATAAATAACGAGATAATGAATAATAAATAAATAAAGTAATAAAAGTAATAAAAGATATAAAGAGAAAAGAGATAAATAAAGAGTATAAAAAATAAGATTTGGTATTCAATATATTTTCTTAGGAATCAAAAAAGAGAAAGAAAAAGAAGTAAATAAAAGTTGGGGGTATAGGGTAAAGGATAGTTAGTGAAGATTGAAATTTGATTTTCATTTTGTTCTTTTGAGAGTAGAAAGGATAAGGAGTTTTCTGATATTATAGTAGACTCTGAAATTGTATATAGCTAGTTGTGTTTGTAGATGCTTTTTTCTTCCCAAAGAAATTTTTAACAAACAGTGAAAATTTCATACCGACGGGAGGCTATGGACATTGAATTTACTTTTTCAATCAAAATTTGTCGTTGAGTACAATTATAACAGTTGAGCATGCAGCATACCCCATTTATTTTTGATGAGATGAAGCCACCCGTGATGATATCAGAATTTCTGGGAAGCAATGCCTTTTCTGAGAAGTTTGATTTGATACCATCAATTTGCCGTCGGGACAATGGGAATCGTGTCTCAAGTCTTTCCTTTTTTCTTTTTCTCTTTTGAATAGTAAGCTGTCTATAGCGCAGATACAAACAAACACGCACTAGACCTGAGGTTGCAATCGAGAGTTTTACCGTTTTCTTTCTACTCTGTTTGAAGTCTCTATACCATTATATTTCAGCATCTTCTTTCCATTCTTTGTCTTAATCTTGAATAACGACTATATACATCATTGACTATGTCTTCCTTTGAATCGTCGACTTATGTTTCCGAACAGGATGCAATGACTGCACCACCTTTGAGACTTTTATCGCTTGGTAAGAAGGACATTACTTAGCTAGGCTCCTGGCAATCACTAACGAATGATTACAGATGGCGGGGGCATTCGAGGACTATCCGAGCTGATCATTCTTGACGAGATCATGAACTGTCTCAAATACGCTCTCAAATCTCCGGTCGATTTACTACCAGCGGATTATTTTGATATGATATGTGGAACAAATACTGGAGGGTAAGTCTCACTCTTCATGACTTCCCAGCTTAGAATAGATTCTTACCAACTCTAGTTTGATCGTATTGCTACTTGAACGACTTCGGTTTTCAACAGCAAAAGCAATCAGATGCTATGCTTCATTAGGGAAAGAAATTTTTAAAAACAAAAGATCGAAAAGTTGGCACGGTTACTCATTTGAGTCATCAAATATGGAGAGAGCAATCAAAAATTTGCTAGAAGTTAAATATGGGCATGGCCATGGCGACGACAGGATGCTCGCGGACGAAGAAGAGAGTCGCCACTCGTGCAAAGCGTATGTGCCACCCTCGAGACTTTCTTTGTAATGCTAACTTTCTCGCCATCTATAGCTTCGTGTGTGCTGTCAACTCAAGCCATATGGAAGGGGACCCTACCAAATTCCGTACATGGTCAGTGGCAAAAGATCGAAGTCTCAACTGCAAGATTTGGGAAGCAGCTCGAGCAACTTGTGCAGCCCCTCGTTTCTTCCAAAGCATCTTCATTGAAGAGAATGGGATTGATAAAGAGTTTGTTGACGCTGGTCTTGGCTGCAACAACCCTATCAAACAACTGATATCAGAAGCTCAGTCCGAATTCGCACAAACGAGGCCTGTTTTCCTGCATTTTAAGTATTGGTGCTGGCATCCCCAAAGCTCTTGGCTTCACAAGACCAAAGTCATTGAAGGAGAAAGTGGCTCCTATGAGCCTTGCGGACGTCTTAAAAGGCATGGCAACATCAACAGAGAAAGAGGCTGCCGAGATGGAAAAGAAGTATGGCAATATTCCTGGCGTTTATCACAGGATCAACGTTGGCAGAGATATAGGAGACATTGGTCTTGAAGAGTTGGAAGAGCTTGGACAAGTCGCAAGTCATACGAGAGCATACCTTCGGAAGGATGGCATCAGTCGTCAAATTGATGGCATTGTGGCGGCGTTGGCACACAAGACTCAGCCGGGAATTCGATTACATCAGCTTGGTAGTTAGTTGTTATGGTTTGGGATGTCATTCTTAATGCTAATGAATTTAGGTAATCATATAACATTACCTTCAGTCACTCAACACATTTGCTTTCCACGCTCCCAAGCTGATCGACATGGTTTCGTGCCTAGATCTTGCATGCATGAAATTGACTATATGTTCAATGATGTGTTGCTAAAACGATCATCGAAAACTATAGTTCTTCAAGGAATGGGAGGTTCTGGGGAACCCAACTTGCATTACATTACTGTCGGAAAGCAGTATCGCAAGGCGGTTTTAATGCTGTGCTGTGGGTTGATGGTACTGCGAAGACGTCAGTCGAACAAAGCTTCAGTAGAATTGCAGACTCAATTATTAGGAAATCCCTGGAAGCAGTTGATATAAAATCTTTTCCAGCCCTAGTACGTAATCAGATTGAAACGTGGAAAGAGCTGTGGCTTCTCGTCTTTGACAATTTCGATGATCCCGCAGATTATGACATCAAGGAATATCTTCCACAAAGCGATTTTGGTCTCATCATCGTAACAGGTCGTCATCCAGCAGCCAATGATCTTGGCTACTATATATCTATTGGCGATCTGCTCGAGGAAGAAGCTATGAATCTACTTTTCCACCGGACGAATCAAGAGAGAACGCATGAAAACATTGAAGATGCCCGCAAGATATGTTGTCATCTTTCATGCTTGGCATTAGCGGTGGATCAAGCTGGAGCATACATCAAGTCTACAGGAATCGACCTCAGTCCATTTATTGAGCATTTCAATAAGCAACAAAATAATATTATGGCATGGTCTCTGCCCCTGAAGACTTACAAAAGACTGGACCCACCGGCCCCCGATCAAGAAATAACGCTCACTGTCTCCACTACATGGGAGCTGTCCTATAATCGTATATCTGGTTCCAAAGAGATTAATGAGGCCAAGAGACACTTTCTTCTCGTTAGCGCTTTTTTGATGGCAATCGCATAAGCGAGTATATCTTCCGCCAGTTTTTGAGATGACCTCTGAGAGACCATCATAGATCAATATGTTCCAGGACCAGGAGACACACAAGTGGAACAGCTCTGCCTTTTTAGCAGTGGTTACAGAGCTTCGAGATCTCAGTTTGCTTCGATCGAATTCAGTGTCGTCACAAGGAGTGAAATATTCTTTTCATCCTATGACTCGAAAGTGGGCTTTATATCGTCAGTCTCGAACCGAAAGGCAAGATCTTGCATTGGAGGCTATGGATATACTTATCAATTCAAACTTTGATGTATTATCATCCAATGGTATCTTAGCTCATTGGCAGGTTATCAGAATGAAACAAATTCTGCCACACACAGAATCTTGTTTTTTTAATTGTGAAGAATTTGTCTCTGAGTCACAAGCTATTGGAACTTTTAGAAACAGAAAAACTGGTTATAATTTGGCTGCTTTTTTCTCGGAATTTGGCGACTTAGATAGATCAGAACTACTCTTTAAGAGAATCTTACTTTACCCCAAGGAAAAAGATCCAGAATTATGGATAAGAAGTCAGAAATGCCTCTCAATGGTGACGGATGTATCCTCTAAATTCCGAAAAGCTGTCGAATTACTGTCCGAAGCTTTAGATTTAGACTCCTTGCCGGCGGATTTACAAAGAGACCTTATTGTCGAAGAGCTTTGTCGGACATTAGAGAACCTAGGATGGTGGGCTTTTGTAGCTAGAGAACTCAAAAGAAAATACCATCTTGAAACCAATGCTCCTGCTCCGGACTGAAGATCTCTTGACTGAGTAATCGTGAGCAGATGATGATCATCTCTTCGGAGTCTTCGTGTATCCGACACTTTACTTCAATTCTCTTACCAACAACCAGACTTCAATACTCTTTCTCCAGCCGAGGAGATACATATTCGGTTTTCCCAAGCTTACCCATATTTATTTTCGTCTTTCCAAAACAGGTTCCTACGATGAAAGCTACTACTATGAGTGGAAGACCAGGTGAAGCAAGAGAAGCCAAGCTCTGGACGTGACCGCCGACTGACGGGGGAATCGATTGTGGTTGGTAGAGACGAGAAGGACTGCAGACAAAAGATATCTGTTCTCCAAAAATTCTTTTCAAAAAGATTTTAACTGCCCAGATTTGATACGTCCCAGCTTGAACAGCTTCGGTTGTTATGCAATTCATACTCTGGAAACAGCAGCATTTGCACGCGTGGTAGTCCCCCTCCGCGAAACATCGGGCACACCTCGTACCGAGGCCGATAACGCGTATTTGGCACAAACTCCAAAAATAGATTTCTGTCTAATGAAAAAAGAAATTTTAGAATCTATATGGTGTGTTTATAGAAATCTTATTCTATTATATAGAATCCAATCTTATTGGAGGTTTTTTATAAAAAAAAAAAATTATTAAATAGTTTTTAGGGTTAGTTTTATTTATTTGTTTTTAAAATTCATTTCGAAATTTTCTATAAAAAGTATATTAATATTTAAAATCTATTTTCAAATAGTTTTTCTTATAGTATATAGACTACTCCTGAATAAGCAAAAGAAGCTTAATAAGAATTCTTATCTAAAGCTCGAGCTTAAGTTTATTTTGCTTAAATTTTATGATTAATATAGTTCTAAATAGTTTTTATAATATTAAAAAATTCAATATACAACTTTAAAGAATTAAAAAAAAAAGAAATACAATTATTAATTAGAATTCAAGGAATCGATTAATATAATTACTTTTAAATTATTCTAGAAGCCGAAATTTATATTCAATTCTAATTACTTAGAAATCTGTTTTATATAGATACCTCAAATATTAGATCTGATAATTAATCAAACTTTAAATAATATCATTAATATTAAAGAAACTCTTTAATTCAGTATACAATCTTAAAGGAATTAATAAAATAAAAAGAAAAGAGATATAATTATTAATTATGATTCAAAGAATCGATTGATATAATTACTTAGAAGGGGAGAAGGAAAGGGATCGATCGATCCAGGCGAACATAAGCAGAGAGTAGGAGGGGATAGATCTAGAAAAGCTACATGGAGGAAAATTGAAGCACGCAGCATATCATATTGCAAGAGAATGTATACAAAAGCTACCCTTACAGGATAAAACAGCTTTCAAATAAATATTAGATAAGAGATCGGAAAGCGTGTATAGAGGCGCTCAGAGGATCGGAGACAAAAGTACAAATACACTAGCCATCACTTGGGAGGCTACTGAGGGTATTGAGACCCCATCCTTAGAAAAGGAGGATCATGTAAATTAGAAGATCATCCCGCAGTTAGCCCAACCGTAATGCCCCCCGGGAGGCTTGCTTATACGGCCTGGTTGAAAATTACTAATAATAATAATAATAATAATAATAATAATATAATTACTTTTAAATTATTTTAAAGATTGAAATTTATATTCAATATAAGAATATTCTAATAAATCTAAAAAGAGATTTAATTTCAATATTTCAATTCTTATTTTTGAAATATTATTAAATTAAATATAAATTTCAATTTTTGAGATAATTTAAAAGTAATTATATTAATTGATTTCTTGAATTCTAATTAATAAGTAAATCTCTTTTCTTTTTATTTTATTAATTACTTTAAGGTTATATACTGGATTAAAGAATTCTTATTTTTAAATATACATCACTAAATTCTAAATTAGGTTTTAGCTTAGGCATAAATCTATTTTTGGGTTTTGTACCAAATGCGCGTTATCGGCCTCGGTACCTCGGCTAATTACCCCACCTTCCTCCACATCTGTTTTTTTATTTTTCCGTCTCATCTCCAACGAAATCATCAAATCTACAAGAACTCGATCCAGTTTCACGAAAATGCCTCTTTCATTCCCCATCTTCACTGATTCTCCAGAAGTCCTTCAAAAGGATCTCAGTGGATCAACCAAACCACAATACGTGATCTTTTTCGCCTCCCTCAAGCCTGAGACAAACGAATCTTGGTGTGGAGATTGCCGAAGCGCGGAAGGTCCCTTGACTGAGAAGCTTCATGTAGCTGCAAAGGAGAACAGGGTTAAGCTTATCTACGTAGGATCCCAGGCTGAGTATGTTACTGTTACCCGGAAGCTTGGCCCGAATAGAGTCTGGGCTCACTGGTGTCTATGAAGTGGTGAGAATGGGAAGCTAATGGAACTTTCTTTTTAGATGGAGAGATTTATCACCGGGAAAGAAAAGTCTTTGGAGAGATGAGCCATGGGGTATTGATAGATTGCCTACTGTGGTGAAAATCACTGGGGAGGTGAGTTGCTTCTAATCCTTGCTCGCTGTTCTTTAGCTCATGTGATGTAGAAATGGGAGAAGTTGATTGAGGAAGACTGTTATAATGAAAAGAAGTTGAGTGCTTTTGTCGAGGAATAGTGATTCCAAGAAATGTGTGGAGTGTCCGTTTACAACTACTGCAGCTCTCGCTGTCACTATAACTAAGTATCATGAATATTCATTATCGCACATTGTGTTCTCTGCGTGCCTCTGTTGAACATAATCTTCGCATTTAATCTCTACTAAAACAATCTTTAGTGAAGCAGCTTTTTCTAGAAAAATAAAACCATCCATCACGGAGCCCCAAATGATTCCCAGTCTCTACTTGCAAGCCTCTCCCGAGCTGGCTCTCGGTGGTCCATATCATCACCATAATCCTGCTCAATCAAGGGTTCTTCCCATCGATGGAATTCCTCCTCGACCATACCAACTCTTTCTTCCAGCTCGTACTCAGTACTATTCATTTCATTTGCGCTTTCGTTTGACTTGAGTCTCTTAGAGCTTTCATACGTTTCAGCCTCTAGAATCTTCCTTTCTGAAGGCTTCCTCTTTCCAAGTGCTTTTCCACCAAGGCTAACGTGTGCCATATCCTTAGAAAGATTGTCCCATTCTTCATTAGGCTTTCTGATTTGTGCAATTGTGTCGATTGCCAATTGTGTGGATGGGAACATTACTTGGCCGGTTAGTTCGTCACGCCATTGAAACTTGTCAACAAAGTATGATGGTAGTGTATGTCGTACGATACCAGTAGTATCTAGCTGGACATACCGATCCCTTCCATCGCCCTTTCTCTTCTGTGATTTCTCGCCCAATTTTTCACGATCTTCCAAAGCCTCTAGTGCTACCATGGCCCACTCATGTGCAATGTAATAGGACATCCTCCACTCTTGATACTTTTTCTGACTTTGAAAACAGGCACTGCCAGCAGACGTGAAGAGTTCGTATCCAAGTTCTTGCGGGTGTACATCAATCATCCTCTTACTAGGATAAGCAACGACAGACAAGCGCATGAGAGGAGTTCCTGTTGGCAACTCCGGAATTGGTACTGGCGATACGTAGCGTAGTGATACTGGTGTATCGGCATCGTAGCGTCTAGGAGCAATACCAGCATGCCATCTTTTCCCAGAGAACACCAGAGCTGACAAAGGTGCAGTTGGACATACAGTTCTCTCCCCTAGCAGTGCAAAATTTCCTACGTGGTAATCAGGAGGTGGGTTTCCGAGGAAGAAGAGCACAGTAAACATATTGGCATGATCTCGCTCGTCGATGTGGCCGTTTCCAAATTTTCGAGGTCCATCCATACCTTCATCCATCTCGAGATAATTCACCTGTATACTTGTGATGGTGTTATTTTCGTCAGCGCCAATCGTGAGAGGAGGACGTTGTAGTCGACGTTTCGCTCAAATTTTATCTTTCATTCCAGGCGCGTAGGTCTCGAGTAAGGCATTGGCGATGCTTGTGAGCTCTACTGTCAAATCTCGATTGTCTCTGTCAACATCGTTTCGAATTATGACTCCGTTTTGGATACTGTGTCGGCCTGTACGCTTTTGTATAGTGATTCCGAGCTTGTAGATCTTTGCACGATCTTCCATAAATTTACGGCTCCGTACCTTCCTCATCGTAGTATGTAACTTCGGCTGAAAGTCGCGATGCAGCATCTTTTCTCGTACTTTAACTAGGCGGTCGAGAAGACCAGCCTTCTCAATCTCGGCTGCAGATAGGTATGCGTGGTCGAATCGCTTGCCATCAGGAGCATTGGGAGCTGCTACAAAATGACAAACACCTGGCTCTAGTCGAATGTAGCCAATATCGCTAAGCTCCTTGTCGGTATGCTGTCTACCTATGTCCAATTCTGGAGGCATTGTGCAAGACAATTTTGCTAGTTTAGGGCTCCTCAACTTCGCATCAACTGTGTGTAGCCAGTATCCATAGCCATTGTATTTGACGTCGTCGGAAACTAGTAGTGAAGGGTCGTGATTGTTCCATGATGCTATGTTCTGTATGAAAAATTCGGATTAATTCGAGGTCGATCGAAGCTCTTAAATATTGATCATCAGTGTGCCGAGGAACTTCTGGCGAATGAAATTGAAGATTGAATATGATATCTTTGAAGATATCAATACAGTAGCCTCTTTTTCATATGAGGTAATTGAATCACAGACGGAATAGCTTGCTCGGAACTACTCACAGACTAGTGTGCGAGAAGAGTGTTTAAACCTTGTGAATCCAAGTTCCCATAGATTCACCCCATTAGATTTGACTTCCATTACCCCTTCATTCTATCTGATGCTAGATCGAGAAGTGGTAATAGTTCCCTTAAATTAGGCACAGTTGAAACTGAATATGAGTAATTTGGGAAATAATTCATGGCTGTGTTGGCTGACCGAAGAGCTTTTCTGGAGTTCAAATGCGTTTGGAGGGAATTCTTATGTCCGTCTGTATGTGATTAATTCTGCTATAACAACAAAACGTGAAATCAACAAACCGAAGGTTCAATAGGTTCAATAAGTCAAATAATCATTAATCGTGGGTATTTTATAAGCAATTTCTCGAGCAGAACTCAAAATAATCCGTAGAATCTGTAATTGTTGGTATCAACTTGGTTGTGAAGTGCCAAGTACTCTATATGGTTGCAATTGTTCTTAATTATTATTATGGTATCTAAGGAAAGCTATTACTTGTATAGGGAATTAACACAATGCCTCTTTATGATCACAAGATCGATATCTCGATAGTAATCTAGAGCACAAACCCAGTTTTATGTTGGCATTTCCTCCTCAATATTACTACACAGGTCATCTACGCTTTAATAACTCATTCCCCAGTCTTCTCTGCAAAAGGAGCAGGCTGCCAATTATCGGTGGGCACCCAGCCAGGATTTGCAGGGACAGTGTCTACAGCTGGATCAAACGCGCGAGGAGAATCTAGTTCCGTGAAAACTGTGTCGCCTTTGTAGTCGCCAAAACCATCATATGCCTGTGCTATATCTTCCTCGAAGGCAGTAAGCTGCTCACAAGGCTCGGTAGTAACCAACGCGATTGTCTTAATGGCCATATCGCGAGAAGGATATGTCTTTTCTCCAGTATCAGGGTCGATCCACCAGAATAGCCCAATAAACCAATCGGGATTGGTAGTTCTCAAAGCTTCCCAGTCTGCAAGATCTTCGTAGTATGCGCTGAACTTTTGTGTGATAGCCTTCTCTTCTTCGGTGCGCGAGACTCTCTTGTTCTTGCCGGTTTTTGTTGGAAGGGGTTCTTTGGTATCGTTCTTGTCGATTTCATCCTCCAACTGCTTGAAGTATGCTAAGGATCTCTCCTCTGCATCATGAGAAAGATCGTCGACACCGTGCCAGAACATGTCTGGAGCAAAAGTCATCATCCACCACCAGTTTCGGATCCATTCAGGGAAGTGCTTTTGTAGAAGTAATTTAGTTTCAAGCGATGCGATCAGCTTAAATAATACTTCCTGCTTGATAAAAAGCCTCAACTTCCATTCCTGATGTGTTCGAATGTTGGTGAAGACGTGAAGAGCCTGTGGTTGCCATATCTCGATGTTCAATTCCTTGAACTGAGGAACTAGAAGTCTGCGAGTTGGATATACTACCATGTTACATCTCATCTTGTTTCCGGCTGCAAGAGGACTTAATTCAGGAAGCGGGACCGATGGAGCTGGTAATCGTAGTGGATGACCTGGGCCTACCCACTCTGGATAGAATCCTGAGCCAGTACCACAGTGCCATGTTCTTCCAGAAAAGATATACACTTGGAAAGGAGATGCAGGGAATATAGTCCTCCAGGTAGTATTGATAAAATGACCAGGGCAATACCAATCGTCGAAGTTTGACATGAAGAACACGACGGAATAGGAGGTTGGTTGATCGTCTTTATCGCAATGTAGATGCGCCTTCCCCTTCAAAGCATCTGTGATGACTGTTCCTTGCTTTGTGTAATTGAGCTGGATAGAGTTGAGCGTTGTATTCGGATCTTCGCTGAAGGTCATCGCTGTATTTCGATGCCATTCAATATCTTGAAAAGAATTGGTATTCTCGTACCCAGGGATCCAGATATCAAGCAACTTCTGGCCTAAATTGCGAGCTCTATGAAAGAAATTCTTCTTCGAATCGTCTGTATCTCGACGCAGAATCTCTGCCAGCTGAAGTCTCTTGACTCCGTGTCCTGGTTGCTTAGTGACTCCAATTTCATATTGCATTCCCTTCCAATTTGGGTAGTAGCTATATTTTCTTTTCATCGTCGCTGCCAAGCCAGTCTGAAAGTCTGAATGAAGAGCAATCTCACGAAGCTTGCCAAGTTCCTCCAGAAGACCACATTGCGCTAGCTCTATCTCGCTAAGTCTGAGGTGACTTGTAAAGCGGGTGGGAGGTTTATCTTTATGAAGTGCTTCAAATTGGTGCTTCTCGCCACCCTTCATGAAGTGGTAGCCAGCTTTCTCTAGCTCTTCCGCCGTGTGATATCTGGATTCTGAAAGAATAGCCGGAATGTTATGGGTAATTCTTAACCGCTCGTTAACTGTAAGCTTTCTTGGATAGTCGACCAGGCTGTAAATCCACGTGCCGTTCTCATATCTTCTCTTGTAGATATCTTTTCGGAGCTGGATTTGATTATTCATGGCTAATTGTGGACTGAATTCGATTGTTTGAGTTCAATGTACGATAAAATTAAAAGAGGTCTAAAGAAAACTGATTGAAAGTTGTGTTTGTTGCAGCAATAAACAAGATTTTTAGAATAATTGAATCTCTGATACAGCAGCTGTGGGCCCGAATATACTCCGGACTATTATGACATCTATTATGACAAAATATACTCAGTTAAACTCCTTTCGTCCAGTTAAAATCAAGAGAATCACAATAAATCTCCCGTTTATATACTAATCACTATCCAACTTACAAAGAATGAGCCTCGGACACGAAGCGATTGGTGAATTTTTGTGAATTGAATGCCCATTCATTTCAAGATGCATTGTAGTTTACCTAGGTAGTTCAACCACCAATGATATTCAAACTTTAGTATATAAGATACATGCAATAGACTTGTACATTGAATTCAATCATTGACAGAGAGCTTCTGATGTCCCAGGTGACCTTGACAGAGAGGCAAAGCTTGTTAGTGGTATGAATAGAGAAAATCTCCCAGTACAGACAGAGAAGATCATTCTTATATCTAGATAGACATTCAGCAAACCACTAGGTCATAGAAAACTCTTGAAAATTGCGCATTACTAGAAAGATCAGGACCTTGACAAAAGTAAGTAAGAGCCTTCGCAGTAACATTGCAATTTTCTGAATAAAAATACAGTGCTAAAGTATCGGAAACCTTTTGGCAAATAACTTATCCCATCTCTAACTTTTTTATGAATAGTAAATCAGTTTCACAAATAATGCGGAGAAATTCAGAAAATTCATCAATCCCACCAGAATGATAAAATTGACTCACTCACTGCAAGCTAGGAGAATCCTTCCGGCGAGAGTAAGGTCTTGATGAGCACTCTTTTATGAAGGCATTTCATCCAGTCGATGACCAGAAGTATACAAGTTAAATCCTTCTTGAGAAACCGTTTATATGTGCTTCTTACAGAAATCACGCAACGCTGTATGATTGATCGCCAAAGCCGCAAATATGATTGGCGTGAGACAAATAACGATGTGGCAATTAATTGTCTGTCGTGCGATAGCAAGATTGACAACTACTTGGCGCTTGCTAGCGATTTTAGGATAGATTGCGCCTGGCAAACATAAATAAGTGCTCTGATTGCCGAAACAAGCCCAAATATATCAATTGGGCATGCTCAAACCAGGTGAAAAGCCATAGCAATCAATAAAATGATGGAACTATTGAAGATGACAGTATAACAAATATACCTGACAGATATGCCCCTCCTAGCTCAGATGGCAGTTCGAATTTGAAAATCACTGTTGAGGAAACTACACAAAATTACTTGCTTTAATAGTGGAGTTTCTAATTTTCTGCTAGGCAAACTGGCTGGGTTCCGCTCGTTTCCAGCACTAACTGTACACGGAGAGTGTATACTGGTCGTAATTGGAGTGCAAAAGCTTGGGTATAAGAACACTTCTCTGTACGTAGAGTTTTGGCATTCGATAACTTGCAAACATTGGGAAAACCTTCGAGATGATATCATGGAAGGCAAGATTTGAAGGCTGGAAATAATTTTTTTAACTTCGCTATCCAATGCTATCAAGATAGAATGTTTGATAGTCGCTGATTTCGTACCGATTCCCCCTCATCTGGATAGTATTATGCGCACCAGGTTTGAACATCAACATTTGCTCGCTACAACTTTCCAGGTATCAATAGATGCAGATAGTTGGAAATTCACCTCTTCTCCTGCTATTCCTGCGACTCAGCCTGGTCATTACGAGCCCCTTGTCCGGGAGGAACCTCGAAATAGCTAGCTGCCCCATCATTAGTCTCAATAGGTGTGTATTACCAGCCCAGACCCGTGGTGCCATATACAATATTCTCGTCCAGTGTTGATTCCGATGATTGATATTCGTCGGATGAGGAACGAGGCGACAGAATTACTCGTCTCGGAAAGACTTCACTTATCAATGGTCCATTGTCATTGCGCCAGAAGTTTTCACCATTTTGAGGTGGAGTCACCTCGCCATACAATTGAGAGAGAATTCCAGTGTATTTTCTACGACAGCAGATGCACCTGTCTCTCAATTGGCCATCGATAGGATCGGAGTTAATCCACTGCACCATACAACCCAAATGGAAAAAATGCCCACAGTTCGGAATGAGTGAGGCTGAAGGCTGGGCATCAGAATATTCTTCCCGACAAATGGGACAAATGTCATCATCTTCCGGTGCAGAATTTACTGCCAGTATTGGGGCGGTGGAACCATCGTCATCTTGACGATCAACATCTTGACCGTGATCCTGTTGACTATCATCATATTGGTCATGAGCATCTTGACCACCATGATCTCGACTATCATCGGTTTGTGGAAGTAAGATCGCAGATCTCAAAGTAGCAGCTTCAAGCCTCGGACCATCTGCTCTACGACAATTGTCGTGAATATGTGACTGAGGAATTGTTGGTACAACTTGCATTGCCCGTTGATATAAACGCCTTTCTCTGGCTTGCATCGCACGAAAATGGTTCGCAAAAATCGACAAAGGAGGAATTCCAAATAAAATAAAGTCGTCATTGGGTGAATGCGCTGGATAACCCCCATCGGCAGGGTCTGGAAGCATAGGCAAGTGGTCTAAATCCATGTCCCCAGGGAAAGGGGTACCACAAATAACTCAGAGAAAAGTTAGATCCAATCATGTAGTTATCGCAAGAAAAGATAATTGGCTTACAGTTTAAGGAGAAAACAAAGCGCTCTAACAATTCGTTTTGCTGATCAAGAGTCAATAAATTATAAAATGCGGCACGTATGTCAGGCCAGTATGCTTGGAGATCTCTTCGAAGCTTTGGCTCCAGATCAATTCGGCCATACTGGCGCAGGAGATCAATCATCTCGGGAACTCGTGAACGGTATACCATTTTTTTGGAGGTGATGTGATCCTAAAATTGAAGTTTGCTGAGTTGGGATTGTGTCTTGTAAGCTATTTTGTTGCAACATTGTTGATTTTGCTCACTCAATGTGGCAGGTACGATCAGTCAGTCTCGTCTTCAATTTTTCTTTCGTTTCTACCACCCACTTTCATTATTCAGATACGACTTTGAATCGATCTCAGCCTCTTCTTGTTTCTTTCTATATTTAGTTCGATAACTGAGTGTTAAACAGCGATCTCAAATGTTCTCCAAGAGGACGAAGAATCGGAAGAAGCAAAATGAGCATCTCGACTAGTTCTTACTTCCCCCCTTCGCGACCACATGAGGTCGTTATAAAACTTTTTGCGAACAAACGACGCGAGAACATCGATCCTGTCGTACCCATGCAGAAAATCACATCTTCTGGTCGTCTTTGTCAACTATCATACATAGACTTGGCTCATGTCCGCAATAGTTCTACGAGTGGTATTTGATCCTGAGCAAAAACAAGGATTGTTGAAGGTTGACTTTGTTGACTCTGGGAAACGCAAAGCAGTTATTCGATTTTATGCCGGGAGGAAGGTGGCCTGCGCCAATTCTTTATGTCCGAGGTCTTTTTGGGGACACTCTGGCTGCCAGTGTTAAACTGGCTGTACGAAGCGGCATTGGGTTTATGCAGTTGCGTACAACTATCAGGGCAAGCACCCAACACTTGCATCTGCTGTTTCTATGAACCCAAACTCTTAACATTAGATATCAGCAACATATACGCCTACACCACCATGAGTACAGGAATCCGATTCCAGATCCTCGATATTACTCTGGTGTTAGCATCAAATAAGGGCTACTGTAGCTTCGCCGACTGTCGGTTTCCTTGATTTCCTTTATCTGCACAAGCTACCAAAATGCTTCAGATTAGTCTCGAATGGTTTTCGCAGGTATTGTTGTTCTTCAAACATTTTGAAAAGGGGATCCGAGCATTTCAAGAATGCTGAATAATTTGTTGTTCATGGTCATCGACGAGATGGTTTGTCTCTTTCATTCTATGTATGGATCAAATTATGAACGATGTTTTACTTGTATGAAGATCTCCTGGAATTATTGGTTGGTGATGAAAAGTTTCATCACATTACACCGCTGCCCAAATCAAATTCTGCCATGATCGTCATTCTTGGCATCAAAACCTTATCTGCACTACTCAACACTCAGTCCCTCACTTATGAAGTTCTTGGGCTTGGAGTTGCAGATCGCATGTCCTATTCATTATTTGCACTCTTCGTATCAATTATGTCTCCGAACTAGTCCAAAGGCTAAACAACGGTGTTCATCATGGCGCACATCTTTTACAACCCGTCGAGCCCATTACCCCACCGGATCTACAGTGTATAGATAAAGATCATGCCTTTCTAATGGTTCGCATCCTTCAATCAATAATCACCATTGCCTTGGTAAAGTCACTCCGCGAACGAATCTGTTAAAATATAGCTAGTACTGGCGGGGTACAGACTAGTCTTCATGCTAAGTAGGCTACGGTGAAAGCAACGTGTGATTAGAACTTACACGATGATATGCTAAGGGATATTCAGGAATGGAGCGATGGGGAATAAGGGCGGACGTACCGGCATAATCTTCGTATCCGGTAGAACGTAATTGAGTTTCGGTGAAGTTCGGCTAGTCCAAAGGCTACTACTCTCTCTTTTTGTGTTTCATTTTGCTCCGGCGTTTATTTCCACATCAAATCTCTGTAACGAGATCCTTTCTTCGCTATTTGGTATACTCAGAGTTTACCTACCTCCCATTCTTAATGAATGAGCTGAAAAGCGTCTCATTGGAATTTCCTGTATTTGAAGCTACCCATAAATTAGGAGTCAACTTGGGACTGGGCTGTTCCTGCATAGTTTGCATTCTCATTAGCCTTCATATGTTACTAGTTAGGGTAGCTCAATTGATGGCTTCGTATATCATATCTCAAACCAGCGTTGACAGCGGTCCTAGCTTCCAGGCCTCGCTTTTATACTGATTGCATATGTCATAAGCTTAGCTCTAACGTGCATGCTAATTATAAGGTTATTTTTTCCTCCAACATTTACAGCTGATGCATGTGTTCTGACTCAATGACATCAACAACAAACTAGTCAGTAATCTACTTAACTTGTTAATCCCCGCACTTATGCTTCAATCTCAATTCACGAACAACGATCCCAAATTTCGGGCAATCAGTAAGAACACATTTGCCAAATTATGAGCGATTGAATGCTAATACACCTCCCAGAATGGAGAAGCAGAGTCAGGGTGCGACTAGTTCAAAAATGAGCGACGATACCATTGCTGCGAATCCAGCCCGTTCGGAGAGTGCCAAAGAGAGAATATCTCCAACCGCAGATTCGAGAGTAAATAGTTTCGAAAAAGGGACCGATGCCGAAGAAGTAGAGCCCACTGACGATGAGAAAAATACGCTTCGACGAAGTAGGATTATAACCGCATCACATTATAGGTCACTGAAAAGCTGACAATAATTTAGTTGGTGATAGTTTGCCCATGTCCGCTTGGCTTGTCGCTATCGTGGAACTGTGTGAGAGATTCTCATACTATGGTTGTGTGGGACTATTCCAAAATTATGTTCAACGTCCACTGGATGGTTCTTTGGGTCGTGGTGCTCTCGGTAAGAATTCAATCTCTCAGACCTGTGACCCGTTCATTAACTTTATAGGTCTCGGACATCAAACTGCAACAGCTCTGACAGTCTTTTTCTCCATGTGGTGTTACTGTAAGTTATGCTCATCTTAACTGTCACCGTATAATTACTCATATTCTTACTAGTCACTCCAATCTTTGGTGCCATCGTTGCCGATCAGTACCTTGGTCGATTCAAAGCCATTTGCTATTTTGCAGTCGTCTATATGGTTGGTCTACTGGTTCTTGTCTTGACATCTCTACCAGTTTCTCTTCGAAACGGAGCTGGATTGGGAGGGTACATTGCAGCCATTCTTATCATTGGTGTTGGAACCGGAGGTATCAAATCCAACGTCAGTCCTCTAATTGCCGATCAATACACCCGAAAACGTATGGCAATAAAAGTTCTTGAAACTGGTGAACGTGTCATTATTGATCCTACCGTTACCATTCAACGAATCTATTTGATCTTTTATTGGTGTATCAATATCGGAGCTCTTTCCCTTCTCGCAACACCTTACATGGAAAGAGATGTTGGGTTTTGGTCCGCGTACCTTATGTGCTTGTGTGTCTTCATGGTTGGTTTCCTCACATTGCTTGTGGGAAGGAAGCGATATGTTGTTCGCCCACCCAACGGAACAGTTATCACCGATGCGTTCAAGATCATCGGGCAAATGATCAAATACCGAAATCTAAACGCTGCAAAACCTTCTTACCGAGCAGCGAACAATCTGCCACAAACTACTCCATGGAATGAACAGTTCGTTGATGAAGTCAAGCGTGCATTAATAGCTTGTCGGGTCTTTGTCTTCTACCCTATCTACTGGGTTGTCTATGCTCAATTCTCCAGCAACTTCGTTTCTCAGGCCGGAGAAATGAATACACACGGTGTTCCCAACGATCTTTCCCAGAACTTTGATCCCATTGCCATCATTCTCCTCGTACCAGTAATGGATCGTCTAGTTTACCCACTCTTGCGCAAGTGGCACATCAAATTCCGACCCATGTCCCGTATCACATTCGGTTTCATCGTCGCTAGTTTCAGCATGATGTATGCGGCCATCGTGCAGCACCTCATCTACAAAGCCGGCCCATGTTACGGCAAACCTCTCGAATGTCCTGCCGCTATTCTCCCAGACGGAACAATCCAACCCAACGAAGTGCATTTTGCAATTCAAATCCCGGCTTACGTATTGATTGGTATATCTGAAATCTTTGCCTCAGTCACCGGTCTCGAGTATGCATATACTAAAGCACCTGCGTCCATGAAGTCCTTCGTTCAAGCTATGTTCTTATTGACTAACGCTTTTGGATTCGCGATTTGTCAGGCGTTCGTCCCGTTGGTGGGTAATCCGACGATTTTGTGGATGTTTGTGGGACTGGCTTGTGGAAGTTTCGTAGCGGGTATTGTGTTTTGGATTTGTTATCATAAGCTTGATGACCAGGAGGATGAGCTTAATAGTTTGGATGCTAAGTCTGAGGAGGTGGAATCAAAGGGCACAAGTGATGGTAATACTAGAGATGTGTAAGGGAAAAATGGGGTTTCTGGCGTTGGAAGATGCGGCGTACTACTGCTCTGATGCGATGCAATTTCAGTGAGAAATAGATTTCATGTATGGAATAGAGGTATGGAGTCAGTGTAAATTGGCCGCCATGTAATTTATCATAGGTATCAATATTGCCCGCAGGAATAATATTTATCAAACGCCTCTCAGAAACCTTTCAATGTACGAGTTTATTGTGGATAATGAAGAAAATCTTTGACCTTATGTGTGGATGAAGATTCACGACCAAAAATTGAGGCTAAAGAGTAATTCACGCGAGTGCAGGATCTTTTTGTCTTTGGTCCTGCGAGGTATCGAGTGGGGACTTGGGCATGTAATTGGGGAAAAGTATTCCCAAAAATCAGTCAAGGCCGAACAACGAGCAATCAAGTCAATTTTAGCATTGCTATACCTCGATTTAAAAAGTCGTTTTGATATCCCTCACATCTCAGCTATCTATTTAGAAATCTTACAAGGCTGTTGGATGTGAGATGAATGCTGGGGAATCACTGTCTGTGCCAAAGTATCAAAGATGGTTTGGATGGGAATCTCATCGGTGCTATCCATGGATGTCTGGTCACCCTACGATTCTGTGGATACTCCCTGGCAACGTCGAAGTCTGGCGCGAGATACAGTTTCGTTTCGTCGTTTGCAATCTATTCATTGTAGAAATTGTTGTGCTTCCATGAGTCGGAATTCAATGGCAGTGCGCTGTATATAGTGGCGTCTATGAATAAGATCGTGCTCTGCAGTGTAGTACATCTGGCCGTCTCTTGAGATTATGTAAAGGGTAACTCGAAGTAGCGTTGAAAATTCATTGCTGATATGATTTGCTAGAAATCCTTCGAGAACTGCATTCTTAGTGAGCGGCTCGTTGAGAGGGAGCGAGCAGAGTATGAAGAATTGCAAGAGGACCTCACGTGAACAATTGTTATTGTAGTTGTAATTACTACCCAATATATGGAATTCTAGATGCCGCTGTATCAGCTTGTTATGTTATCAGTGAATAGAAAAAATCTAGAGGTTAAAGTGACAAATTCGGTAAACAATATCAAATTCACACGAACAAATTTCCAGATCAAATCCCGCCCAAAAAACATAAATTCACTTTGAATAATCCAATTGAAAAGCACCAGTCAGATAAATTCATATCCTCAAATTCTTCACTAGTTCAACGACGGAGATTCGAAGATCGTTGTTCGGTTTTCGCTTTTACGAGAAATAATGAGTAGTAGATTGAATCTGGGATGAAATGTGGTGAAGCATTGCTTCTTTTTCTCTGATATCACTCATGGTATATGGCATCCCTAGAGAACATGTCTGAATAACTCCTACGCAAAGTCTTATGCGTCAAAAATATAGTTTGACTTGAGCTATAATGCGAACATTGTGGATAGACCCCTTGGTACATCGTACATCTCCCGTGGTCACTAAACCAACCCTCATTGCCTGTTTAGACATATTCCATGTACTTGAAATGCCAATACCAACTTGGCTTCACCCTAGCCCTCATTATGTGCGGTCTACTGCCTTTGACAAATGGCCAATGTCTCGCACGCTGTAGATCCTTTTTTGTGACCGCCCGTATAAAAGGTGGAAGATGGTTCTCCGAATACCAGCCCAGATAGTCAGAGTTATCTGGCTCATACTCTTCTAGCAATCGACAGTACTGTCGTGCGTGTAACTTATGAATGAACAAGTGATAGTATTCGTGTCGTACGTTGCCATGTGACAAATTAACTATTTGAGTTCATTTCAATGTCAAAGAATCTTGCAACCCTATTGTAGGTCATGCGAGATTCTATTTGACGATACACCACGTCTCTTCTGGATTTAACCATTGCGATAAATTAGTAAAGGGTTCGAAATTACCCCAGACCTGAGCAGCAAGCTTAGATTTGTGTTTCGCCTGTACAAAAGTTTCTGCGTCTGCGAGTTCTCTCTTCTTCCGCTTTTGCTTCACTAGAAGTTCTATTTCAGGCTCTTATTGTTGTCATGAGAATCCTCATCTTACTACCAAATCTTTAAAGTTTGAACAGGCGTGGGAACTGAAGCTTTTCTAGTAGAATCTTTTCCACGTTGAAGACTCTCATTGTCAGCATCTTCATGACGCATGTGAGTGACTTCACATTGCTCGTTATCTCAGCTGACTTTCCGGAATCGTATATCTTTCTCGGATGTGAGAATCCCTTCTTCAATTTCGTTCTATGGCTTTGCTTCCAGTCTGAATCATTGGGGCAAGCGTTGGTAAGTTATAGCTGACGAGATAGGAGATGAGACTGCGCAACGGGGAGACATACAGGAGATTGTTAGTTCTTGATAGTTGTCTCTGTGCTAGTCCTACCATGTCAAGTAGCTATACTTGCTTTGTTTCTTTTCCTTTTCCTTGCTCTCAACACTTTCATTTACGGTGAAGATTGATGCACTAGAGGTCAAAATGTTAACACTTGCTTCAACTATTGGTATGAGGAATGCATTAGAAGGATAGTTTGGGGGGGGATAGCTAAGAGGATAGCTCAAATCCATACTACAGATCTGAAACTTAAGTCTAGATGACGCTTGTGTAGTGTGTAGACTAGGCCAATGCTAGCTCCTATTGGTCGATGAATTAATTGTTCTTTTAGACGTGGAAGAGACATGGGATCACTGATTCTTTGAGTTAAAGCAATCTAGTACTTGACTCATCGCCCCCTTTCCATTCATTTGTAGCATCCGATCTCTAGCGCGAGACTGTTTGACAGCTGTTTAGTATAGATGTTCGAAATATGCAAACTCCGGTTAGTCGACACTATCATAGGAGATCATTGAAACCTCCCAGGTGATTGTAACAAAAACTCGAAGTATCCATTGTCAATTTGAGCAGTTAATATTTTAAAGTCATTTTGGACTCGACTTGAAAGCCTCGGTACATCATCTCCCCATTCCCGATCACGATACTTCAGACGACACAGACTACAACATCCATTCACACAAAAAGGTTCAACAGTGAATACGATTTGAAAATTGAGATTAACAGTCGGACCTTCTTTCTCCCGAAATTGTAATAATGCCATTAGATCGCTCTGTTGAGAGATTAGGGCAAACGCTCACCGAGATATGGACGTTGTGCCGCTTGCAATTTCAATCCCAAAAATATTCTCACTACAACAACTCTCAATCCCCGACCACCAACCTTCCTCCACCCTCAACAAACAATCAAGACAACGAGTCAAAAAAGTTTCTAGACTTTCTTTCATTCTTTTCTGTATTAAAATTTTAGGATACGAAGATCTTTGGTTTCTCGCCATTTAATCTTTTACGCTCTCTTTTACATTCCTTCCCCGCCACGGTTCTTCTGTTTTGTTTTTTGCTTCTCTATTTTGATAAGTAAGATATCAAAAAGCTCACTCAGTCATTTGACTTGATATCCAAACTATCTTTGTGGTTTCTACAAGATCACAGATCTCGGTTTCTTTCGTTTGAGACACTGCTTGCCACGTCCATTCCAGAGATATCACCAGTGTCGCATCACGCTCCCGACAAGATGTCGAAGCCAGCAACGGGTCCAGCAGGAATTTCAGCACCAAAGCCAAAGATGACAGCAGCGCAGAAGAAAAAGGCAGACAAAGAAGAATTACTGCAGGAAGAACTGAGACAAGCAAGACAGCAAAAACAAAGAGTGGAGGAGAGCGTTCAAATTGATCGAGACGCGAAAGCAAAGGAAGATGAAAATGAAGGCAGTGACTCCGGCCTAATTTTCAATAAATCAGATCAAAGAGAGCACAATGATTACTGGTTAGCTCATCAAGCTGTTCGATTTGGAAAATCGGAACAGTTGAGTAAGGAACAAGCAGCTCTTGCCGAGGCGTCGAAGCAGGACCACATAGCTGAATACACCGATGGATCCGCAAAACAAAATCCGGTTGATCAAAACGGCGAGTCATCAATGCAACAAAATCAGAGATCAACAACCCACCAGCCCACATCAACTCAAGCAAAAATCTTGATGCAAGGCACAGGTCAAGAATCGGACCAATCAACGGATGACCTATTTTTCGATGCACCGGCACAACAAAGCCCAGACCGTGGAGCAGATTTCTCCACTCTACAAGATGAGTTCCAGCAATCTAACGTACCCATGAAGAATCAGAAGTTGCAAACGGATGATGTCATCAAGACAGCAACTGATGACTCAACGAAGCTTGGTAAACCTTGGGCTGGGTCCGCAAAAGAGAATTCTCTGGTTTGGGTTATTCTCAATGAATCACTTGTTGGTGTCGATTCAATTGCTTATGCCACTCTAGAAATAGCACAGTTGCGATGTGCAGAGCTTAAGTTGTCTTACAGCGGTTATCTCCAAATTATGTGCCTCCTCTTCCGCGGTGGATACACCACCGTCACTGAAGACACGAGAGCCTCGAATTTGCAACAAGCTAGGTTACTTCTCGAAAAGAATCCCTTGGATGATTTACCTGAGTCTGAACCCAAGGCTGTTGAAGCTGCTCCAGCGGATTGGGCTGATAGGGAAGACGAGTCATTTCTTAATTTGAATCATACTAAGAAGAAGAGGAAGCCGAGAAGAAAGGCTTTGCCAAAAATAGAAGACATTCTCTCAGACATCCAGGAGATTGAAAATACAGAAGCTCCAGCTCAGGCTCCTGTCGAAGTAGCAAAGCCAAGAGCAAAGGATGGAAGCGCGGCCAAGGCTGGTGAGGTTGATTCTGAAGCCAATGAAGATGATGTCGTCGTCGTTGCGGGAGCAGTTGAGGTTCCTAAAAAGGCAGTAAAAGCTAGAGCATGGAAGGGAAAGGCGGTGGCCAAGGCTGTTGAGGTCGATTCCGAAGCCATTGGTGATGATGAAACCGTCCAGGCCCCAGGTCAAGCTCCTTCTAAGGTAACAAAGCCAAGAGCGAGAAAGACAAAGGCTACTGACACTATCGAGGTTGATCCTGAAGTGCCTAACAACGACGAGAATATCCAGGGGCCCGTTGCGGCTCCTAGAAAGG